CTTAGCTCATGTTTTTCTGACTTAAAAAAAATAATACTTTTACTTTATTTTAATAGTTGGATTCCAGATTTAAAGTAGCCTAAAGAAATTATTTGAAAACAATTTATAGAAGCCATTCTGCAAAACCGAAAATCTTTTCCTCAAAGAAATTCTCATTTTGTTAACCCACTCACAGGATGTCGGATGCCAGGTGGAGTGGACTCACCACAAGCCTTCTGGGATGTCTTGGTCAACCAGAAAGACATGGTCAGCGAGGTGCCTTCTGACCGCTGGTCACTGGATTCATTCCACGATCCTGACCAAACCAACCACAGCAAGATGGTGACACGCCGTGGTGGCTTCATTCACAACATGGACAAGTTTGACAACACCTTCTTCAAGATTTCACCACGTGAGGCGAGCTCCATGGACCCTCAGCAGCGCCACATCCTCGAGGTCACCTACGAGGCTTTCCAAGATGCTGGTGTCCTCCCAAGTGATCTGAAGGAATCCTGTGGTGTCTACATCGGTGTGGGTATGATGGACTATGCTGTGATGCTCACAGAAACATCCCTGATTGGTCCCTACATGCACACTGGAACTGCCCATTCATCCGTTGCCAACAGGATCTCCTATGTCTTTGACCTTCGTGGACCCTCCTTTGCTGTTGAGACGGCATGTGCCTCATCCATGACTGCGATGCATCTTGCTTGTGATGCCATCTGGAATGGAGAGTGCACCTATGCAGTTTCTGGAGGCTGCAATGCCCTACTCATCCCAGAGACCACTGTGGGGTTTAGCGCTCTTGGGGTCTTGTCTGCAGAGGGGAAATGCTGCCCTTTCTCCGATAAGGGGAATGGCTACGTCCGTAGTGAGGGTTTTGGTGCATTCATTCTTAAACCACTAGAAGCAGCGATGGCCGAGAATGACCACATCTATGCCGTAATCCGCGGCAGCTCCATCGCAGCAAATGGCTCCTGCAAGAGTTTAACAATGCCATCGGGTCCCGCACAGGAAATGGTGATGAGAAGTGCATACAAACGTTTCGGCATACCTACCTCCTTGGTTCAGTATGTGGAAGCTCATGGCACTGGAACACCTGTGGGTGATCCAATCGAAGCAGAGGCTATCGGAAGCATTTTTGGTACCCAGGACAATGACCCTATCAAAATCGGATCAGTGAAGAGCAATTTCGGCCACAACGAATGTGCAGCTGGCATCACTTCCTCCATCAAAGTAGCTCTGATGTTGGACAAAAAAACTCTGGCACCAACCATCAACCACGACAAGCCAAATCCAAACATTGATCTCAAAGGTCTTAACCTTCAGGTTCAGACAACGACAGAATCACTGAAAGGCAAAGAAGGTCCGTACACAATTGGTCTCAACAGCTTTGGATTTTCTGGAGCAGTGGCCCACATGATCTTCCAAGAGGCACCACAGCCTCTGCAGAAGACACAAACAATTCCCAATGCTAACTGGAAGTTTGGAGATGGAGACCAGCTGGGTAGGCCAGTCATCCTTCCTCTCTCTGCCAAGTCAAAAGATGCACTCAACGACCTTGCCCAGAGATGGCTGGAGTTTGAGAGTGACAAGGATGCTCTAAGTGTTGTCTCGTGGCAAGCAACACGAAGAGATCATCACCCTTACCGCCTCGCCGTCATAGCTAACTCAGGAGCCTCCTGCAGACAGAGTCTTGAGGGATTCCTCCAAGGGGGAATATCTGAGACAGTGATATCGGGAACTGCTCCTCAAGGCAAGCCTAAGATCTGCTTCGTCTTCCCTGGACAGGGACAACAGTGGGTTGACATGGGCCGGAAGTTGTACAGAGCTGACAATGTCTTCAAGGAAAGTATTGATCGATGTGACTCCATCTACCGGAAGATATCAGGTTGGTCCTTGCTAGAAAAATGTGGCTTATTCAACGGCAATGCTATTGACTCTAAGAACTCCCCATACTCGTCAGTTGACGATGCACTGAATCAAGTGGAAGTGGTTCAGCCAGCAATCACCTTCATCCAAGTTTCACTCTTTCATCTATGGAAGCACTTAGGAGTGCACCCAGATGTTGTTGTTGGCCACAGTGTTGGTGAAATAGCAGCGGCTTACGCCTGTGGTGGACTTACACTTGAGGAAGCGATATCTGTGATCTACCACCGAAGTCATGAGCAGGCAAAACAGAAGGGCACTGGAACAATGGCTGCTTTGAGAGCTACAAAAGAACAAGCTGAAAGAATCTGTGAAGAGCATGAGCATCTGTACATAGCAGCAGTCAACGCACCTGGGTCCATGACACTTGCAGGGAACATTGATGTCATAGCAGCAGTGGTTGAGAACAATCCCGGAAAGGCCAAACAGTTGCGGGTCACATGTGCCTTCCACACTCCAGAGATGGACCCCATCAAAAAGCCCTTCATGGCAGCCATGAAAGGTGTTGTTACCAGTGAAACTGGCAAGCGTGATGTACCTTACTACTCCACTGTAACAGGTAAAGACTACGAAGGAAGTTTCGACACCGACTACTGGTGGAACAACATCCGAAGTGCTGTACTCTTCCAGCCTGCCATTGAAGCTATTCTGCAGGAGACAAAGGCAGATATCTTCCTGGAGATTGCAGCGTCCAACACTCTTCTGACACCTATCAAGCAGATTGCTCATGCCTTGGACCCCAAGAATCCACCTGTTATAATCAACTCCAGCCTCAGAGAAAAGGACGACCTACTTAACATGCAGCGAGCAGTTGGATCTCTGTACACCAACGGCACCTCACTTGACTGGCGTACGATAACAGACAATGCAGCAGAATGGGCACCAGTTCCAACATATCCCTGGCAACACCAGTCATTCTGGCTGGAAACAGACGAGAGACAAAAGCACCGTCTTGGTTTGGATGATCGTACAATCAAAGGCCAAAGTGGCAAATTCACTCTGGACATGTTCCCCTTTTTGGCCGATCATGTGGTTGGGAACCGCATTGTCTTTCCCGGAGCCGGCTACGTCGAGTTCATGATTCAGATGGGATTTCCAGAGATGGAGAAACCAGCCTTGAAGAACATCAACTTCACTCGTGTTCTTCCATGGCCTGAGGATGCTGACCCCAAAAAGTGCACCCTCAAACTTGCGATGGTGAAGGATGGAACGAAGATGCAGGTTACCTGTGATGGAAATCAACACAGCGATGCCCACATGGAGTCTGTCCCAAGCAAGACTCTGGAAGCCCCGTTCCCTCTGGAGGAAATTCAAAAGAGATGCACTGTTGAGGTCAGCAGTGAACTCTTCTACTCCAGGTTGGCAGCGGTGGGTCTCAAATATGGACCAGCATTCCAGACGGTTGAGAAGATGTTTCTTGGAGATGGTGAAGCTTTAGCCATCTTGAATCTGGTCACCGATAACAAACAGAGGATCCAGATTACTCACTTTGATGCCACCTTTCAACTTGTCCTCTCCGCTGTGGGTCCATTCAATGCGATGTACCTCCCAATACGCATTGACTCCATGCAGATGACAACTGAAGCCATCCCATCAGGTAAAAAGATTCTCGCGTACACCAAAATCCACGAATATGACAGCACTTACATAGGAGCTGACATAAAGATGCTCACCCTTGATGGACAAGTTTTGGTTGATGTTAAAGGTTTCTTGGCACAGAACTTCAGTGGCAACCAATCAGACGTTCCTATCGAGTCATGTGTTTACTCGACACTATGGCAGCCAGCCTCAGCATGCACTCTGCCAACTTCAGTTCTTTCTGAGGTCTTTCAAAAAGAAAATCTGCAGGAGATGTGGGGTGATGATTTAGATGTTATCATGCGGGCTGAGAAGGTCCTTGATGATCTTGAAGGAGTTTGTGTGTCCTACATTAAACACGCCCTCGATGAAGTTCCTTCTGAGGAGATGAATGCAAAAATAGTCAGTTACATCAGACGAATCAAGTCCTTACAAATCAACACCAAGACCAAGCCTATTCCATACAGCCACATTCCAGCGGTCATCAGAAACATCCTCAACACGGCACCCGAGTTGGACGCTGAGGTTAATCTGTTGAAGCATTTCGGAGACATACTGCCTGAATCACTAAAGGATCCACAAGTTGGACTATCAGTCTTGTACCCTGAAGAAGGAATAGACAACTACTATCACAACTCACTCAGCACAAGGCTGTACTACAAGGCCACATCCCAAGCTGTTGTCAAATCCATCTCCGAGGCTGTCAAACAAAAAACGGTTGTTAGAGTTCTGGAGTTGGGAGGTCAAATAGGAAGTCTGACACAGATGGTTTTGGAGCCCCTCAAGGATATGGGTCTCACAGAGCAGATAGAGTACGTTTTCACTGACGGAAATAAAAAGCTCATTCAGCAAGCTCAGGACAACCTCAGTGATTACTCCTTCATTGAGTATAAACAGCTGGACATCAAGAAGAATGCTAAAGAGCAAGACCTTGTTGCCAACAGCTTTGACATTGTCATCTGCGTCAATGCTTTGCATGCTACCAACAACATCCAGCAGAGTGCCAGAAACGTCAGAAACCTTGTAAGTCCAGATGGCCTGATGTTCATCATCGAGAACACAAAGATGCACTTCTTGGCCGACTTCTTCTCTTTGGCTGCTGAGGAAGAGCACCACCTGCTCTCAAGAAAAGATTGGGTTGATACCATGATCAGTGTTGGCCTTCAGGATATCGTATCTGCTTCTTCACCACAGGAGTTCTTCCACAGCGTGTTTGCGGGTCGTAAGCCCCCAGTGTCTCCTCAGATGAAAAAAGTTGACAACAAACTCATCATCATTCAAAATGAAAGTGACCAATTCACTGTAAAGTTCCTCAAAAGCTACAAGGGAAAATCTGAGATGTGCAAGTTCTCCACCGCCGAGCCTTTCGACTGCATCATCAGTGAGCAAATAGAATCCCCAGCAGAAGTGATGTATGTCTACAGCGATGAGGACTCAAACCTCTATACTCTCCTGAGACTCTTCCAGGCAGTGGAGACATACCCTGAAGCTGTCAAGCGTGTCTGGGTGTTGACAACGGGTGGTAACAGCGACTCCCCATGTCCAAGTGGCTCCTTAGCAGTTGGTCTGGCAAGGGCTGTTAGCAATCAGATTCCAACTGTTCAAATAGTCACTGTTGACTTTGATCCCTGCTCCAAAGTTGAGGAGAATGTTCAAGAGTTGCTGAAGCTGATGAACGATGATGCAACTGGTGAGCAAGAGATTATAATCAGAAATGGAGAAAGAAGAGTGCCTCGTCTTATCCGCCAAGATCTACAAGAAGTCAGCAAGGTTCAGTCCAAGAATTGGCGTGTGGAACAAGATCTCAAAGGTCCAAGGGGCAAAGGTGCCTCAATTGATGATCTTGCCTTCCATGATGTTCCTGATCTAGAAATTCCTCCAGGCCACGTCAAGATCGCTGTACAGGCAGCTCCACTGAACTTCAAAGATGTGATGATGGCACTGGGTCTCCTTGAGGGATTGGAGAGCGATGTGCATCCATCCTTTGGTCTCGAGTGTGCGGGCGTTGTTGTTGAGGTCGGGAGTGGTGTGAGTGATCTTGATGTCAATGATAAGGTGATGGCTTTTGGAAAGAACTGTTTTGCATCTCATGCTGTCTGTGATTCCCGGTTGACTGTTCCAAAGCCAGAAAATCTCAGCTGGTTGGATAGTTCCAGTGTTGGAGTAATTTTTGTGACAGCTTATCTCAGTCTGGTTGATCGGGCCAACTTGAAGAAAGGAGAGACAGTCTTGATTCATTCAGCCTGTGGTGGTGTTGGTCTGGCAGCAATTCAAATCGCTCGTATGAGAGGAGCTAAGATTATCTGCACAGCTGGTACAGAAGAAAAACGTTCCTATCTTCGTCAGGAACTTGGCATGGACTTGGTCAGCGACTCTCGCTCAACAAGATTCTATGACGATGTCATGGAGTGGACAGATGGCAAGGGAGTGGATGTTGTCCTGAATTCTCTGTCCGGGAAACTGTTGCAGACAGGTCTATCACTGTTGAGTCCTGGAGGCAGATTTTGTGAGATAGGTAAGCGGGACATCCTTCAGGGCTCTAGTCTCCCGATGAGTTTCTTCTTGGAGAACAAGGTGTTCCACTCCTGTCAGCTTGACATCTTGATGAAACAGCGTCCAGAAGAGGTACAAACTGTCATGAAAAAAGTTGTCTCATTGTTTGAAGATAGCACACTGCAACCTATCCCAACAAGTGTGTACTCGATAGAAAACCTCAAGGACACATTCCGGGTCATGTCAAAAGGATCTCACATTGGCAAAATTGTCTTTGAGGTGCCTGAAAATTTCCAGCCAAAGGAGGTACATCCTTCACTTTGCCAGTTTAAGCCAAATGCCACCTACATCGTCACTGGAGGGTACGGAGGAATTGGACAAGCTCTTTCAAGATGGCTGTGTCTGAATGGGGCAAAGCATATTGCCCTTGTGTCTCGCAGGGGGGCAACAACAGCAGCAGCAAAACGAACTCTGAATTTCCTGAAGAAAAACAACGTTCACACGTACGAGTTTTATCTGGACATTTCAAACAAAACCAGTGTTGAGGAACTTCTGATGACACTACAACAAAACAAGATGGCTCCACCCATTAAAGGAATCTTTCATCTTGCTGGAGTGATTGATGAAGAAAACCTCCATGACATCACTCCAAGTCAGATAGATCGCATCCTTGGAGCAAAGGCTCTCGGCGCTCAACATCTTAATGAGCTGACCCAAAACAACAACCTGGACATCTTCTTCATGCTGTCTTCAATCTCCACCACCTGGGGTCACCAAGCACAGCCGTGCTACTGTGCTGCTAACGCCTACCTCGATGCTTTGGCCGAGAAGCGACACAGCGAGGGACTGCCAGCTCTATCTGTCCAGCTTGCACCTGTCAGAGGCGCTGGGTACCTGGAAGACAAAGGGCAAACAGTGAAAGTCCTGGCCATGAAGGGATGCTACCAACTACACGTGGATGAGTTCCTGCAGGTGGTTGGACAGCTGCTGCCTCGGCGAGATCTCCCAGTTGTGACATTTGCCAATCAGGTACTTTAAAATGTTGAGACACAAAAGTCTTACTTTTCTTAAACAAAACGGCTGCATTAACAAACACTACAGTAATTTAAGAGTCAGTTCGCCTCAGCAGAGAGAAGGTGTGGATGAATCGTCTTCGAACTATTCAACCACATGGTCTAAACATCCAACTTGGAAATGATTAATCCTTTTCTTCCTCCATTGTCCTCTGTTACAGATAATCCATCTGGTCTTCCTTGTTTGTGTTTACACATCTCCCGCCATCTTTCATCCCTTTCCACCTCAATACTGTCCCCCCCCCCCCCCCCCCCCGCATCATCCCTTCACTCTCACACTCTTTTGTCCGTTCCCACTCCCTGTGACCTTTGATCCTTCCCCTCTCTGGTCCCTCCCCTGTTTACACCAGACCCCTTGTGGTTTGCCATCTCCCTTTGTTTCTTTGTTCTCTCATCCACCCTCCCCTGCATCTTTCCACACCTTTCCCTCCTAATCCTCCTTTTGTGTTTCTTCTTTCAGCCCTGCATGTTTGTGTGCACCCCCATGTTAATGTATGTATCTCTGTCATTTCTGTTTTAGCCTCTGAAGAAGAACTTGCTAAGTTCGCAACGTCAGGCCACATTAATTTTAGACTACAGTAATTTGTAAGATGACAAACTGACACTGCACTCAAATACAACATTGAAGTCATAAATTGATGTGCATACAATGTTGTCTGTAAATCACTTGTCTCCTGGCTACATTTGGTACTGAGATTCTTTTTTTTTTGCACCAATTACTTCTCAAAAACTATTTTTATCATCTGTAACCCTAGAAATGTCCACATGACCTGCTGTTAACACAACAGCAACGACAAAATCATTCTTAAGATACTAAAGACCCTTATATATCAATGACAACTGATAAGTCTGACTTAATTTTGCACGATTTCGTTCATTTTCTTTCCAGGACTGGGGAATAACACAGACTACCTGCCACAGGTCCCTGCTGAAATTCCACCACCTGGCAACGAGGAGCAAAGCCACGGCAACCAAGGGCGAAACTCCGCACATGGAACTGGCAGACATGGAGACCAGCATCAAATCCAAGATGGGGGAACTCCTGTGCATGTCAGAAGAAGCCATCGACATCAGCCAACCGATGGTGAACTACGGGGTGGACTCCCTGGTTGCCTTGGAGATTGCCAACTGGGCCACCAATCAGCTCGGAGTAGAGATCTCCCAGTTGGACATTCTGGGCGGCATGGCGACAGTAGAACTGATCGAGAAGGCCATGGAAGCAAACTGAGTAGTCTATCGCATAAATCTTTCATCCAATTCTGATTGCAGCATATACCTAAGCTCATGAAAGTTGTACATTTCATTACGAATGCATCATTCCAATTTCTAAAATGAATGAATTTAATTAAGAAATTAAAACTCAAATGGAGAAAAAATGACAAGTTAGATCTTTCTGGTGTAAAACAATAATAGAATTATGCATTCTTTGGAGCAGTTTTCATGTTGTAGAAGGTGGCACATTTTACATTGTTATTGATGTACATGTAAACGATTAATGAAAATCAATATTTTGAGGTAATTGGGATGTGCAACATGTTTAATTTTCTCAATACATGTACTTGGAATTTGATCAACTGGGGAAAAAAGGAAAACCAATTGAATGTAGATAATGTGTTAACATTATAACACAAAAGAAATATTTATTCTTAAAATCAAGTTGTGTTTAGCCCTCTTAACCCTAACCCACCTCGATCCTCCAAATCTTCATTGCAGTTTTGGAGGATTTTGAAGGATTGAGGATGACCGGTGTTTGAAAAACATGAGGATTTGGAGGACTGAGGATGAATTGTGTTGAAGCACATGAGGATTTTTGAGGGTTGAGGATGGTGTTGAAGCACATGAGGATTGAGGATGAATGGTGTTTGAGAAACATGAGGATTTTGCAGGATTAAGGATAAATGCATTTTTGTCTGACGATTTTGAAGGATTGAGGCGCTGGGTATCCTTCATTTGAACATAAGTGCAAAATTTTGGAGAATTTTGGAGGATTGAGGATGGTTCCTATTAAAACGGGACTAGGGGGTTAGTTAAAGAACCAACAAGTTTGATCCTCAGATCCCACATAGTTTAAACTTTGTACTGACTAAGATATCCTAGTTGTTGGTAGTGGTAACAAATAGACAGGGTGGCAAAAAGCTTGGGTACATTATACTCCAAACTTGTATGACTGTTACACACATCAAACCTTGGACACGAAGCTCCCTATAGATGACAGTAAAGTACTATTCTAGGTGTGTGAATTAGATGTTTGTTTACACTTTTGGATTAATTCTATATTGGAACTGCTTTTTAATTGAGTGCTACAGGAATTTGCATATTAGAACTTTTGTGGTTATACCTGCCTATTCAGTTCAGGAAATTGAAATTTGCCACTGAAAAGAAAAAAAAATCATAATTCAAAAGTTCCTGAGCAGAAAGTTCCTGTGTAAGTCTATAAAGTACATGTAGTACTTTAAGGTACGCACACTGAATTTGAAAATTAGCCTCAAAGTTGGTTGATGATTTCCTTGACAACCAGGGATTTCAAGTGAAACCATTTGGAGAATAGATTTGTTTTAAACATGCAGTTGATGATGATGACTGATATTTTTCAATGAGTTTGAAAACTGCAATTGTGTGTTCGCGGTTTACTTTAACTTGGACATGTTTATAGATATAGAAGTGTTTTTAAACACTTTGTTGTGTTGGTACTAACTTTGTGGCACACTGATGGTAATGAAGGGCATAAAATGTCCAGAATATAATCAGTTTTGGTGACAGAAGTTATTTAAGCTTAAAGATTGTCAATGTAGATTTAAATGCAGTCATCTCAAAGTGTGGTAAATAAGTAATTTCATGGAGTTCAAAGTTGCAAAAGAGATACATGTAGAGTGCTCATAATTTTTTATTTTAAAAAGTTACTGTTATTACTTAGCCTGGAGCTATCGAACAGAACTAAATGTATTCCGATGTCATAAATCCTCAAGTTGTGTGTACACATACTAGAAAATTGGAACAAAAATAATTGAAACAGTAACACTTGTTTATAAACAAGCACTTGTAGTGAAAAAAAGATATGTTTAATTGTAAGTGGTACATGTTCCTTAAAAGAATTGGAAAGAACTTATTATCCCTAACCACCTCGATGCACATGTTATGAAGGACCAACCCTTCTTTTTTTTTTGTTCCCAATTTCAAAATCTCAATTTCAATGTGCAGTAACCCTGTAAAAACAGTCCTGTGTGGGGCAAACCAGAAACTGAATTTGGACAGATTTTGACAAATGCTTTTCAATCCAGTGTGATTGACAAAACAAAATGGACACCAGACATCGCAAATCTAGATTCAATTTTATATTTTTTTTATAAGAGCTTTCTATAGAATCTTTAGTTTTTCAACAGTTTTGACATTTATGTAGTTCATATTTGTATGTCGTCTAAGCTTATATTCAGCTATGTGTTTCAAAATATGGATATGAAGGACAACTAACTGTTTTGTCTGGAGCCATTTTACAAATTAATGATTAATTCCTGGACAGAAACTCTATTATTGAAACGGTGATGCGTTCTGCAAATTTCCAAAAGCAGCTGGCAGTTGAATTATTTTTTTTTCTTGACCTTTAAAAGTATCTGAATATACATTGTAATGTCAACACAGCAATTTCTACAACACAAAATACACCTCGCCTTTAATTTCTTTTCTAAAAGGCGCCTTATTTTTAATTGTAATCTCTATACTGGATAATAATGAGGAACGCTGAACACATTTTGTTAATATTTCAAGGGTTTTTTAATAATATATTGTCCGCTATTCCAATTATCTGAAGTGATATGTAAATTTATGCAAATTGTACAAGGGTGTCCAGAGGATTTTGATGTTCTGACTGAAGTTGATTGACAAAATAAAAACTTACGCTTCAGCTGAATATGTGGCGTATCATTTTCACAAATTACTAAGTTTGTAAACCCCAAATTAAAAAAATATATAAAAATCCAAATCACCTTGCCAATAAAAGTATAAAAAGAAAATCTTCAGCAAATAAGTTAATAATTCAATTCTCATGATTGTGTGATTTAAATTAAAATGTTTTATTGGAAATCTGATTTAAAGAAATGACCACAACATTATAATCATTAGGAATCTATGAAAGTGCTTTGTCAATTCGAGTCATCCAAATTATTAAATTGTTAAATGAGTATTTAGCTAGAAATCGTTACTGTAGAAATCACTTTTCACTTTTACACGAGAGTACTACATTTGATCATGCACTTGAAAACCAATTCAAAGCCTCAAGTCTTACCATTTTGGCAGTTGTAAAAAAAAAAGCAAAATTGATTTTAAGGATTAATCCTACGTATACTTGATTTCCCATTTGAAGACTTGCGGGATTCGCAACAATTTGCATTGCCAACATTTGTGGGTTTTAAGTTGTGGGCAGCCCTGTTAGTCAGGCAGAAACACGTGGAAAAGTACGGTAGCACTTAAAATGACTAACAAGAATATATGTTTGCATAAGCTTTCATAGCTACAACTACTTCATCAGATGCTATGAAGAGGGGCATCATCATGCAAGCTTTATGTAGTCTAAACAAAAGCTAGTGGTGTAGTGTGACAAAAAGCCACGATCCCTGTTAAGCCCGCTTTCAGTACACTCCAATGTATGATGTTAATTTCCAAACATTTTATGTGGGTTCGTTATTAGACGGGGTTTCTCCGATAATAAATTCTGGGGAAAAGATTTTGTGACTAGCTGTGACCGATGTTTCAGTTGAGATCTAGGTCAAAGTTGCCATTTTGCCATTCTCTTTGTAGACAATTGAGGGCGCTCTGCAAGTAAGCCAAGACCTTACAGGAGGTTAGCTTAAAGCAAATTGGGGCGAGGACCATTAGTTGTCTAGTGGTTTATTTGCGACATGACTTACGCCTGCGCACTAATAGCAACGTCCAAACGTCTCCAGTCAAAATATCATCACAAAACTTCTTGGTCCTGACTTTCTGCTCTGCTTTACAATGCTGGCGGCTAATGATAACCAGCAGGATGGCTGGGCTACTAGAGCAGGTCAGCCATTCCGTGTTCAAGTGAAGTTGGTCGAACTACAGTCGTTGCTTGAACTTGCTCTTAGAAGCATATCATTTATTGGCCCACAAATGGTTTTAAAAATGTACTATAATGAACCAAACTTGATAAAGGAGCTGTATTCAAAATCAACCAATTTGTCCAACACTGATAGGCTGTTTAGTGAATAAAGGAGCAATTCCGACTACATGTACTTCAGCAGTTTTAGCCCCAATCAGACTTGTCTGATCTGACAACCAGCTCAGCAACATTTGTAAGCAACTTAACAATTTCAACAGAAATTGGATATGACACACCTGCAGTTAAGTTGATAGCAGGTGGATGGAGTGGATGCGTTCAGCGGGTCATCTGTCTTGGCTAGTGGATGCTGGATCTGTGGATGGCTGTCCAGTCTTCTGCTTCTTCTTCTGTCGGATGGCATCTAGGGTCTCCTCAACCGATCGCTTGTCCATTTTGTTCTCGCTAGGAACTGTCAAACATGAATAGATGAATTGGAAATAACTTTCCGCAAGAGTAGACATTCATGTAAAATTTTTCAAAAAGTGGGGGAATAAGCGCAATGGAGGTTCATGGTACATGTATATATGTTTGTTTTTGCCTAAAGGCATCCCTTAAAGGTATAGTCCATCATTTGCAGCCATCCGAAAAGTAACTGGCGTAATTATTGTTGAAAAACAAACTTGGTTGAAAAATAGTAAGGGGACTAAACTCCCTGTGAAATTATTCTTTCTGGGAAGCTGTCATTTTGAAGTAATCAACGAAAGAAGGCATTTCCAACGGTGATTCTTAAGAAGCACCGTAGGAAAATTTAAATTAGTAGTTCGTTTTGTTATTCAGCGCAGCGCGCACAAGTATTGGAACGCCGCACACGCGCGCGCGGTTGTTATAATTCGTCGGATCAGTGCGCGACGTCGCGTACATGTATAGCTGCAATTCAAAACAATTCAAAACATGATTCAGTAACTTTGGATTTGAAATTGAGATCTTAGAATGCTGTTTTTCTCGGAATGTACAGCTGAAGCTTAGCTGAAACTTCATCAGGTTAGTTGCTCAGTATCCTTCATTAGATTTTGAACTCTTTTGTTGCTTCAAACGAACAAAATGCACAAATTACAAATGATGGACTATAGCTTTAACATCCGTATCTTTTAGTCTACATAAATCTTTAAATATCCTGAAGTAAGGACGAAATCCTGAGAAATTTTATCCCTGCATTTGAAGGGGAACTCCCAAGACAGATCCTTACCGTTTCCAAACTGCTTATTAGGTGTAAGGTTCTTGGCCCCTTCCTTAGCACTCTCCTCGCCGATGATATCCTTGTATTTGTCCCTGTAGTTGGAGGCAGGAGTGAAGTCTTGGGGATTGCTGGCCTGGTGACGCCTTTCATCTTCTTCTGCTAATAACTGAAACATTTCAGGGAGATAATGTGCAAGTTTTGTTTATAAGAAAAGAAACGAATTGACATGAGTTGACATGAGTACACCTGAAATTTTGAAAGTTGTAAAAAGAGAAGGCCTGACGTTACAAACTGAGGATCTTAAACTTTTCCGGTCTTTATGTTTGTGGCCCACCTGATATTAACCAGTTCACGACGGATGACTTGTATACACACTAAGGTTTGCAGTATTCGGAACGGATGACGGATAAACACACAACGAGCGAGGCTGGAAATATCTGTCGGCAACCAGTTTGCAGTGAGCGAGGCCAGAAATATCAGGGTGTGCTACCCGCAGATGACTGCCCGAACCCGTCTGGCATCGAGGTTCTTGAAAAACAATCCCACGCCTGGGTCTGGTCAATGTTAAAATAATCCCGACGCGAAGTGGTTAAGGTTCTGGCCGTTTTCTTTTTGCTTATTAATGACGATCCCTTCTCGCTGCTCATAGTCTCATACAAGGCACTTACAGACAACTACTGCAGAGCCAAACTTATAGCAAATGCAGAGCAAGGTCACTGCCATTAAGCATGTAGTCTTTTACCAAATAAAAAAACCAGAACCTGCAAGAATACTCTCTTTGTTTATCACCTTTTGTCGGGCAAGTTCTTTTGCTTTTTCTGCATCCCACGTCTCTCCTCGCCGATATGCATCGAGTTCATCATCTGTTGGTGCATATTCCTGATATTATAAGAAAACAAATAATTAAAGTCTCATAAACCAATAAGTGAACCTGACAAAAACACACACAGGACACAAACTGACCATCCGACTGCCCCACTTTTATCCTCCGCGGTCAAACACTATAAACATCCATCTCATCATCCAACCCGAAAAATAAATAGAAAGAAAAAATCCATGCACATCTCTTTCAAACTTCTTCAAAGCTATAAAACTAAAGAAAAAAAGAATGTAGTATCCAGACGCCACTCCAGCGGTTATGAACAAAGTCTATGGAGAGTCAAGACAATTTTCTAAGTATTTCCTAACAAAATTGGAGATGTTTCTCATCCCCAGATTCATGTCTTATCAACGTTTTTGCAATGACTGACCTTTATAGACCGCTTGTAGACGCGTTCGATAAGCGACTCGCGAAGGCGCGCGACGCCATGTTGTGGGACAAGCGCATATCTATCCATGCACATTTTGTCCCACAACATGGCGTCGCGCACCTTCGCGCGTCAATTATCGAACGCGTCTGCAAGCGGTCTATTGGGACGATATATGAAGAAAAAAGTGGCGTCAGGTTGCAACATGCTTTCCCTAAAGAAATATTTTGTTTTGCTCTGGGATAAACTTCTCACCTTTTTGAATAGAATAATGAACCTATTGTCATCTGTTTCACCAAATGAAAATGACGTCAGACCTGCCACCTCAGCAACATCATGACTGCAGGAAAAAAACAAAATACATGCACCAATTATGACAACTGCTGATCAGCCCTGGTGATCAAAACAAATAATGCATGAAAATGATGTGTGGATCAAATCCTGTTCATATAAAATATCATTGTTAACTTTCCTGTAGCCCATAAAAAAAGCAGAACGAAAAAGTCCAAAATTTCAGGGGAAAATTGTTTTGTAGGGTAGAAAACCTTGTCCATGGGTGTGGTTAAACCTTTCAAATCAAGAATAACCTACAATGTACGCTAAGAATTTTAAATTGCATTTATAGAGAAGGGCTACACATATGTTACCATAATATATCCTCTTCAAATGCACCTGTACAAGTTAAATGGACATTATGGCCTGAATTGCGCCCTATTGTGTTACAAAACTCATTTTAAATGAAACAATTTTAAATGGAAAGAGCATTTAAAAGTAGAATATAAACGTCCACACAACCATCCTTAAATTGTACGTTTTTGTAGTGGTGCTGTGTGTAATTTATGTGACACACACAACATGTATCGTACATTGAATGAAAAAGACAGGAAAAACATGCGTATTCCATCGCGTCCGATGAAGACAACCGGTTTTGTTTCGTCTTTTCTCGGGAATGGTAAGACATTAGGTTTGTTTCCTTTCAAGCAGACCTTTGAAATAGTACAAATTATAAGTAAACAATCCAAAAGATAACATTTTTTGGGATTTTATGCCGTAATGCCCATTTAAACTCAAGGCGTATTAAAGGGAATGCACATCATTGGCTTTTGCTGTAATTTTCAGAAATGAATTATTTGAGGGGTTAGTATAATAGATCAAATATTGTTTAAGTGACGTGTTTGAAGTTTTGTGTTCGAAAATGCTTGAAAAACCAAGAAAAACAAAAATTGTTTAAGTAGTCTGGTTCCCTGACTCCACTAAAGATAAAATGGATCAATTTATAGATGTCGGAAAATTGTAAGGTAAGGGAACCAGTCTAGCTGGCCTGCACCCGTTCATGAACATGTAACCAATAGCAAACAAAATTTGGACTGAAAAAAATTGTAAATTTGGAGCAGTAGTTGAAAAATAGTTAGGTTTTTCCAACGGTGGTCAGCCGATCACCGTTGGAAATGTATACAAAAATACCATTTTCTTGAAAATGACTTGACACCAGGTGCCGTAATTTTACAGGATGCTTTAGACTGTCATTTACCAACATCCTAGTAAGGTATTTCGTAAAAACTTGTTAGTTTTATTTTTTGATGTTTGCAAATGTTGTATATTCCCTTTAAATAGGCTGGCATTCTTTTGTCAACACTTTCACCATGTTCACCTGTCCTGGACGTACTTACACAATAGACCTTAATATTCTTTCCATGGGTTCATATCTGAGTCTGGTCCTGCTGCCGTCATTGATGAACTTGTTAATCTCCTTCTCAATCTTTTCTCGGAACTCGTTTTTCTTCTTTTTGTCTTCTGTTTGAAGCTTCTCCAATCGTTTCTTTCTCTCTGCAAAAACATATAAGAAGTGAAAATGAAAATGAATGAGTTTTCAACATGTTTACAAACTTTATTTCATATTTAGAAATATGCAAACTAATGGCAATAAAAGCTGACATGAATAACAATGTTATTAACAATGTTGATAACAATGTTATTTAATAACATCCAATTCAAATCCCAATTCCACCAAATTACCCATCACACTTCAATTAAACACTGCCCACTAGTGGCAGCCTTGATGTCATATTAGAAGGATTTCTTTTATTTATGTACGTATGTGTTCGTACGTACGTACAAGCTAGGTATATACTACAATGAATTTGCTACTCCAGCCGAGCACACCGATTGGCTCAATGGGTAAAACGATGGATTCAAAGACCACAGGTTTGACTTGTTTAATTACCTGTCTTGTTTGACTTTTCCTTTTCCTTTTTCCAAAATATGATTTTTGTTTCCCCCCGGATAAAGTATTACTTTTTCTATCACAGAATTAATCATTTTTTATCATCACAGAATATTACTAATAGTAATGCTAATAGTACTAGGACCTACTGAAATGTCAGACTAGGCCTATATTTCCTGTTTTAAAAAAATCCTCCGGACATGCCGGAGCCACAAATTAGAAAAAAAGTAATATTATTACTTTTTTTCTAATTTGTGGCTCCGGCATGTCCGGAGGATTTTTTTAAAACAGGAAATATAGGCCTAGTCGGACATTTCAGTAGGTCCTAGTACTATTAGCCTACTTTTTTTTTTTCTAATTCATGGCCCCATGTGTCGAATTTTTTTTTAAAGGGGAATTGTAGGTCCCCAGGTCATGTGGGTCTGATTCCCAATCCCATCCCCCGAATACAAAATCACAGCGAGCCATTTACAATAATGTCCATGTTTTTTCTTTGTACTGTAAACAGCGCCCTCTACAGTCTTATTGTTGCCTGTGGCAGGCCAAAACATCAACGGAACTTAAATGCACACTAACCTTGTGCCTGTTTTTTCTCTTTGTCCCCAACAGATGGGGGTTTCTCCATAGATCCCAAAATACTGCCGAGTAAATCTGCCATTTTCTAGTTTTTCGTGTTTAAAAAATATGAGCGCCAGACGAACAAAATCAAGGCCGCACAAACTACAATTACATTACTTAGTTTTTATTTATTTTAAAATAACCATACCCTTCATATATTTGCAAAATAATTGCATAATATATTTATTTATGTCCAATGTAATATTTTTTTGCAGATAAAATGTCTTTAATTGTAGGCAGATTTTTTTTTTTAATTATGAAAAATATAAGTGTGTGTTTCAGCCTGAAATTATTCTCGATGTGTAGTCTGGTACCCTTCATTACATATACGTAATTTAATGGATGTGAAAAGGTGTTCAGACGACCTACACCGGTTGCACGAAAGTTCATTTTGACTTTCGCGTTGTCGAATTTGTAATTTCAAAATCGGGAATTATGGCAACGTCTGGAGCTTCAGCCTTACCAAACCAAGACGAAGTCGAAGAAGATGCATCGGAATTGAAGTTTTCCAAAGGTATGGTGAAACGTCCACTCATTTGAACAGAAAATAGACATATTTTGTTTTAGTGGAAACTGAGTGACACCGACGATGTGCTCTAGTCTAGCTGATAGCTGTGCATTTACGACAGCATTATGTACAATACATGTACATGTACAGACGTATGGGCGATCTTGAAGTGTAGGGCCCCTGTTTTGTTTTGATCAAATTAGTGTCAAAAATGTGTTATATTGCTCAAAAACTACCTTTTCAATCAAAAGCAGACTTTTCTCAATTCTAATGACACCCGTTTTGCAATTTCGAACAGATTCTTGACTTGGCCTTGGCTTGGGCATGTTGGGGTAGAAATAATGATTTTCCTGCTCAGTTTATGCCTTTCGATTCAGCGCGCTTTCGATTCACGGTACATCGCGCGGTGATCGCCATCTTTATTTTTGGGTCGGGTGTTGTCGCCGCGCTGTCATCGTCATTTTACCCCCATTTTTCCTCAAAAAATCAAAACCCTGCCCTCTATCCATGACATGTATGACATACCTGTTTATTGACAATGTCACCAACTAGTTTGGTAGGTCCAATAATTTTAAAGTGGATTGGTCTTAAAATTGGTCTTAACATTTCTAAGTCAAGTGTTTTCTAAGAAAATACTTAAATATTTTCCCTGCTAAATTTGACTTTTTAGGACATGTTAGGCGGGCGGGCTAAATACCCCCTGTTCATTTACCGTGGGACGGTATTGTTATTGAGGAAATGTGGGACCCTTCAAGCCAAAGCGGGAGACGGTCCACGCATGAACGCACACGGTACAGCCGTGCATGGTGACGGTTTGCAGTGGGGCTTGTATGTTTAGGGCAGACAAAAGATCAGAGGATTAGCAATGTACCAGGTCTTTGCGGTCGGTGAGTAGAAGCCGCCAATGATGGGTATGAAACCGCAGGATTCATTGTTATAAAAATGGTTATTTGTAGCGGGAGCCGGGAGTGCCAACCGTGGGACGGTTTGTAGAAACAGGTCACCCGCTTTCTTTTCAAGCGGGAGCCGATAAAAGAGGGGCTTAATTGAAAGCGGCTCCCGGTAAGTGAACAGGGGGTATTTAGCCTGTCCGCCTTATCAATTTCTGGTGGCTGATAGGTCACTGAAAAGAAAAATAGTGATGGCCAGATATGGGAATCTTTCCGTGCACATATAATTTGTAAGTTTGCATTTTTCATTATTTTCTCCAACTCTAGAATTTGAGCAAGCAGAAACGTTATTGAACTCTGAGGTGCGTATGCTCCTTGAGCATCGGAAGCAGCAGAATGAGAGCCAAGAAGAGGAACAAGAGCTCAGCGAAGTCTTCATGAAGACTCTGAATTACACTGAACGCTTCTCAAGATTCAAGAATAGGGAAACGATAGCTGATGTCAGAGGGTGAGAGATTTTTATATTCTAATTCATCTTATGCGCTTCAGAGCTTTAAACTGTCTGCAAAAGAATGGTTAGCAGGCAGAAAAGGTGGCATTACTTTAACACTAACAGTCATGAATCTTGCAATTTTAATATGATTTGTTCAAACCCTAGAGGTTAACTTAAGGTTTGTCCCTTATACATCAGATCTTAATGTAATAATTCAATCATTCCACAGCAAAGTTAAAATGTTGATATGAAAATATAGACCTGTGGTGTGTTGTAGTACATATTTAGTCATTGTACAAATGTACATTTCATCGTATTGAATGTAGCATTGGTCACTCGGTGTTCAGTGACAAAATGAGTATGTTTTGTTTGAATTTCCAGGCTCTTGCAGCAGCAGAAATTGCACAAGTTTGAGCTGGCCTCCTTAGCCAACCTCTGTCCGGAGAATGCAGAAGAATCCAAGGCACTAGTCCCCAGGTATGTCTTCTTCTTGTTTTGTGTTATCTGTGTTTTAGTCACATTCATCATACTTGTGACAGGACTTGTGACGGGACTTGTGATGGGCTTAACTATCACACTGGCAAATGTTTCAAATGCATGGCTTTATTTTGCCAGCCACTAAGCAGGGAATTCAGCTTGCAGTGATTATAATGAATTAACCTACCTTGCACTCATTGTTTCCTTTTCATTTTTCAGCCTGGAAGGAAGATTTGAAGATGACGAACTGCAGGAGGTTTTGGACAACATTCAGACCAAGAGGAGCTTCCAGTATTGACTCCACTCTGCCACCTTCAGTGAACTTGAGCGTTGATAACCGGGGAATAAATCCAGAGGGACACCTTTACTTGAACCCTCAGGGAAATGCCCCCACCAGTGTTCCCCTAATTTTCCACAATTTGCTGTAAATGTAAATATGGAGGATACTTCAACATGAGCACTGATGAACGATGCATTTTCACAAACATGTGCTCTGGTTCACAAGACAAATTCACCATTGTAAATATCAGTTAAAAGTGTAAATAGTGTAGCAAGAGGTATGTGTAGGTTGTGTCTGACATGCAACTTTTCCTCGGATAAGCTGTTTTTTGTATTTTTCACTTAACTTTACTTATGCCATTGAAATTTGAAAAACACTGTATAAGGTCTTGTAAAGCTAGTTATTCCCTTTTTGGTTGCTTCCCAGAAGATCGCAATTAGGGTCCAGCCACAAGTGTTGAATATGTCAAAATAAATTATGACAGGTAAACTTCAGTGTGTTGTACAACGTGTGTAATTCTTTTCTTGTTTTGCATGACATGAACCCCCCACCCCCCTTCCTGGCAATGAGAACTCCCAAATAATTAAAATCTAAGGATGGAGGATTAAATTTCATCATCCAAATTGATGTTCAATTGTCTGTGAGAAAAAAAAATTCCACTCTCTTTAAACTCGTAAATTAGATTTAATATCAACTCTCAAGATAAGACCATACTATAACATTTGAATACACACCGTGATCTTTTTATTGCTTCTAAACTGTTAACACACATCTAGCTAGCGTAATTATAAACCTCTAACATTGCAAGTTCACATTCACTACAAAAATAAAACATAGAGGGCGCTCTTTCATTCAGCGAGTGAAGGACGGTTCCCACTCGGCGTTCATTTCGACAATTTTTTTTCATAGTTGAATGAGTGACAGCCTCAGACGCGCTAATTTCATTTATTTCATTCTTGCTTACCCTTGGTAGATTAAAATATTACAAGAGGGGTTAATTTTATGGTAGGGGATTTTGTGAGTTATCTCCACAAATCCCATTTCGATAAAATACAAATTTTAGGGAACATAGAACAATTAGCTCCTCGCTGAGAATAATGTCAAATTTCTCATCAACTTTTTAACTTCAAAAACAAAAAGTCTTCCTTCTCACACGTAGTACCTGTCCAAGATGTAAGGTTCCACCGGCCGCCTTACCTCGCATCAGCTCAGTAGGAGGGCGGTGATTGGCTATGCATAAATTAGGCCCTCATTAACATTTTACAAAAGGGCATCATTTGTTTCTCACATGTCAAAGAGTTTTAAGCAGAATCAAAAATTCACACATCCACATTTAAGTCCATTCAAACTTGTTACCAAAGTAAAAAATAAGTAAATAAACCACACACAAAACAGACACAGGCCACAGTTGGCCTACTAATTAACGCATCATTTTAACACACAGCAGGTGAATTACTATAAGTATTAGCTCTTCTATACGCCCGGTATATATGTATATATATCACTGTAGTATATAATATCTAAACATAATACAAGTACTCCTATACAATGTATATAGTCGCATACATCTATTATATATACATGTATTGCACAAAGCTCTAGCACAATTAACATTTTAAAACATGTTATAGGCCTATTATAGCCCAAGTAGGCCTATATGACAATACCAACCAATTGATACTGGATATCGTTTTTTGTTTTTTGTTTTTTCACAAGAAACCAAGGTAGAGTTAATGCCTAAACAATTATGAATTAATTATCAAATAGTATTTCGTTTAAAACTAAAATTTGCTACGAGCTTTTTTACTTGTGAATGCAGCGTTTTACTCCATCATGGCTTCTTGTGACGGCGCGTGACTACATAGACATAAATTGGACGCATTTGTGCGTAGGGTCTACATGGGGCCACTTTTGTCGTTTTCCTTTAATCAGTGCTTGTGCGTTTCCGTTTTGTAATGTTCCCTTGTTGCTTTGCCTTTGTGAAAATCTACCCAGATCGAAACTTTTACCTTCAAATTTCTAGCTTTTATCATAGTCTTCAACTCACCTGTTCTAATGTTGCTGAATCAGTCTTCCTTGATTCCTTTAAGATCTCATGCGCCAAAATCTAGGCTTGTAAATTTACTCTGCAAGACGTCCCAACACGTGGTATGGCTACTGAAACTCCCAGATTTGCCGCCATGAAAATTTAAAGACACACACCACGATTTGAGCGCCCTCTACTGGTTTTAAAAGAAAACGTTGGCCTCGTTCCATAACACCCAAGTTATTAAACCCCTACATACCCGTAATCTTGACAATTTGGTTATTTTTCCAACACGTACATTTTTTTTTAACAATATTAGAATTTTCTATATAGAATGGTTATGCATCTGCATTAAATTTTCGGCCTGGGTGTCACAACAAAACAATAGGTCTAGATTACGTTATTATGCCCTATTATTCTGCAGCTATGCCGCGACTTTAAACAGTTCATCATTTTAGGACTTCCGTTTGTTAACCCTGAACCCTTGATTTGTTATTGACCTGCACTACTTGTTTAGACCTAAAACTCCGAAACGCGGTTAAAGGCATGTTGCTTTCTAATTATATTGTATGCCTATATTAAAATGATCATCGGATGATCAACCATTTTGTGTGACGCAAGGTGAAAGGTCAATTTCCCACGAATTCCACGTTAATAGTTTACGAGCCCCCTTTTTACCAGGCGATTTGAAATGGGTACTTATTGCAGATCATGGTCAAATTGCACTCATGATTGTACATGTATATAATGCCTATATCTAATCATTCTACACTGCTAATCAGACTCTAAATCGGCGACTGGTTCCTTGTCCCCCTCGGGTTTCGGAACGCTCTTGGCGTGGGCGGGCACCATACTGGTTTCAGTCGGCATCTGAATGGATATAAAAAATCAAACCTATCAGTGAAACTCACAAAAGCAAAAGATACAACAAAGAAAGCCCTCTGTTGACAACTTATATTTATTCTCACAAATTAGGGATTTGATCTGATTTGATTTGTTATATTTCCATTCATCATAATTGTAATAATGAGCATTTTAATTAACAGACTTTACAAAACAAATGTGATGAATGGCGAAACAAGTTGCGTAAAAGGTGGTCAACGGGAGACAAGGCAGATTATTGAGACATTTGAATGTCTCCATAATGTTCCAAGTCCTATTTCCAGGAATAACTATTTTGTGGCAAAAAGCCTAAATCAAATCCTCGTGACGCACAACCAAAATTTTATAAAATTTGGTGAGGATAGGTTAAGTTTGGTTTCGGATTGAGTGTCATTAAAGTTCGGATTTGTTTGTGCACATTGCTATGAGAATGTCTCCCATAGCAGGTACCATTTCCCGTAATGCTAATCACCTCCACATCCTTAGCGTCCATTAAAATCGCTTCTTTCCCTCCGGTACTTCCCCTGCTGACGTCATGATGTCTGGCTTCAATGTTGCTGTTCCAGATTCCGTACCCGAAATAGATAATAAGACCTGCAGTGATGGAAAGCAAGTGTTTGTTGTTTTGGCAACGTTTGGGTCTTAATTGTATGGATTCACTCAAATGTATTCGAAACACGATTATTAATTATATCACTAAGTCAAAATGTCGATAAGGCCCAAAAAAAAGTCTCCGGTTTCTGGTATGGAGCTTGCCCAAAAAGTGGTGCGGCGACGCGGCTTTTTTTTTTTTTTTACCTGATTTGTTTGCTTCAAATGTCGGCTGATGACTGCAAATGGTGCCCAACTAAACTTAGTGCAAATATATGGGAGTCCAGAGAGGCCACATAAAGGCTTATTCTCGACCATAACCCAATCTAAAAACACGTTAAACTTGTGCAGCAGCAGGATTCCAGTCAAACCAGTGAGTTTGGCGGTTTTGAGACATCATTTTTCATTGAAAAAAAAACGTTTTCATTTTGCCGACGCGCATGGCTACGGCGACGCGCGCGCATACCAGAAACCGGAGACTTTTTGGGGGGCCTAAAGCATGAACAGGCATGAAAACTTAAGGTCGGTAAGAATATATTTGGATCGCGAATAAATTTAAAAACCTGGTTTGTTTTAAAGGTGCATTTAAATGATATCTTTTGGTGCTCCTCTTTATCTTCGGTAACATCCTGTCGCTTTAGGAGTTTGATTAAAATAAGTTCATTGTATACAGCCATAATTGCTAGTTTGTGTTGTAATTCTTGAAGAGATACGAAGTCAACCGAACGCGACTAACTTTTAAATCAGATGAATGAAGTAGGAGACATTTCTTACAAAACATCAAGCTTAAGGCAGAAGTTATGTTATCCAGAGCAAAGCATTTATGCATGCAACGGACCAATCAGAAGATGGAAAAACCGACGAACAAACAAACGAACACAAAAATAAACAAACAAACTTACCGGCTGCCATCCAGATGACAAATCGTACCCAGGTGAGAGGCGACAACTTCAGCATGAGATATACGTTGACGAACATGGCGCAGAAGGGCAGCAAAGGGACGCAGGGCGCCATGAACGGCAGCTTGTCGGGATTCTGCGGCTGTTGGATGATCTTAAGGATCAACCCAAGCACGCCCGCTAGCACCACCAAGAAGATGATAATCAGCCACCATTGATCGAGAAGCTGCCTGCCGAAGATGATGATGGCGTTTAAGATGAAGAAGGTGAAAAAGAGACCTAGCGTTGCCATGGTAACCACGCTGCCAGTGGCGCTGGTAGGGAGCGTGGTTTTGTCTGGAAGACGCATGAAGACCCGTAGCCGCTGGTAACAGTCGTAGAGAAACTCGCGCGTGCGCGACAGGTAGAAGTGCCATTTGTTGTAGTTCCGGAAGGAGTCGGCCTCCGGGTCGCCCTCTACGGCCCCGTAGCTTCGAGTGGCGGGGTCTAGGGTCGGGAGTTTGGGCAGGAGCTGCTCGGGCCCCGCCTCTTCAAGAGTGGGCTTGGTCTCTGACGTCTCCTCCACCTTACCCTCGGTGATTTCATCGTCGTCATCCTCGTTCTCGAAGGTGTCGTAAGGCAGGCCGTTGTTCAGGCCTCGCGCAAGATCCAAGTGGGGCTGGTAGCGGAGGATGAGGACGCACATGGACACGAGGGTGTAGGCTAGGAGAGTGCCGATGGACATCATTTCTATCAGGTCCGCTAGGCTGACCATAAGGGCCAAGATGGCGGCCAGGAAACCACCGATCACCGTGGCAACAGCTGGAGTCTGGGTGATCTTGTTAACACGAGCCAAAAACCTGTCCAAGACATGAAGTGATATTTCAAAGATTTTTTTTACAAGGTTAAACAAATAAGTAGAAAAATGCAGTTAATTTTTTAGCGAGTCTTTTTTTTGCCACCTAAGGATTGGTTTTGTTTATACAATCTGTACCTGTCAAAATCATTGCAGTTTGACTGAAAACGTTTTTTTTTTTTTTAACGCATCACAAGTATTTCTCTGTTTTTGGAATCTGTACATATTTTCTGTATGCAAAGTACCAATAAATCGATTCTCTAGTAATGTGTCCGAAACCAATGTAGCAGTTTTTCTGCGGGGACACAACATAATCAAGAAGGCACAATACAGACACACACGCCACAGCTTCGTCAAAATTGAGAGTTCGAGACATCTTCCCAATAAAGGAAGGTCCTTGCCAGAGCTACTGACCATCGTACCTGAACAACAAACCATCAGTGGACATGGCATAGATGACCCTTGGCATGGGGAAGAGTGACCCTAGCAGACTGACCGTCAGCCCAGCGATGGAGCCGATGGCCACGAAGTACTTCCCCGGCTCCGCGTGGTTCTGGACGAACATGTCCATCAGAGGTGCCTCCCGACCGATATCGTAGTACGGAACTGCAAGAGTCAGGACGAAGCTCACCGAGACGTAACCTTGACGTCATCAAAGAAAGAATAAGGTAGAAGATGTATTTGAGGAATCTTTGCATCCAAACCGCTTTATTTTTCGTATTACGGTCAGTTGTGTATCTAGGTTCCAATGTTATTTACAGGAGGCCGAGGAAGCTTGAGGCTCCATTTTCGGCAGTGAGGGGTGGCTCTCCATGGGTTTGAAAAAAACCTGTTTTTGGCTCCTCGTAATTCTGCCATTAAGGAGGGGTAGTGGGGGTTATAGGGGCGGGCCTCAGGCCTCGAAAAGAGGGGGAGAGGTCCCAGACATCTCCTATTCACTTTGTTGTATAAAAAAACTCACTTTAATGCTGCGAATGAGTTTTAAGTGGTTCTCAAACCCAAACTTCATAACTCCATACATGGAATTCAGATCCACAATCCGGATGTTTGACATTCGAAATTAACAATCTGCTTAAACTTAAGAGTCGTGGGATTACTTGAAAAATGCCATATTTTTGATGTCTTTGGTCAACATCGCCGACTTGTTTCACGGCCAGTACAAGTAGAATTACTTACCCACGAGGCATATTACCAACGAGAGCAAGATGGCTGTCGGGATTGCTTTGCTTGGATTCTTAGCCTCCTCTCCAGTCGTTGCAATGATGTCGAACCCGATGAAAGCATAGAAGCAAGTGGCTGCTCCTGTCATTACCTAGGACGTCAAGGACATCAACAACAGACGATTATCATGAGAAATATTTATATTCCAATCTTGTCTGCACTTGTTTTTCAATTCAAAGAAAGCATATTAATTAAATAGCCACATTCAGAAAGTTTTCGCCTATGACCTACTAACATTTAAGCTGAAGATGTCTTTATATTTTGGCTGAAGATATCTCAACTCTTCTTTGGTTGGTAGTTAGCCATTAGCTATAAATTCTTCGCATGTAATAAGCCTCTGTAATAATGACGTCACACTTTGTTTACGTGTGTGTCTTCTTATGGTGCTCAGTGGACCGTGGACCCCCACTGGCTCCATAGGAAAGTGCAAAAGTAAACAAAGTGTGACGTCATTAGTACAGAGGCTATTTGATGAGTGGGAAAGGTTAAAAGGTGGAATTTTTGTCCCACCTTTCGTCAAAGTCTGTGCAATTCTCACAGAGTTCTTGTGATGGATTTGTTCATCGTCTCACTTCTAAAGGTGGCGCAATAGTTAAGCACTCATCAACCACATGTTCAAAATATGTTCGACTCAAACTAGGGGGCTAACATTGATTGATATGCTCTAAAAGGATTTTTATTCTTACTGCCAAAGTTGAATCAATTTCAGCAACTCATTATTTTTTTTCTTTACGTGAAAAAAGGTGGGGCAAAAATTCAACCTTTTAACCTTTCCCACTCATCAAATAGCCTTGCTGCCCCCTATCGGCCGACCTACCCCAGAGAAGCCGAATGGCAGGAATCCATTCTCGCTCCAATTGTTTCCGTTAATGAAGAAGAGCCCTCCGACGACCATGAAGACCCAGATGGCCAGATTGATGGCGTTCAGGATGTTGTTGAAGGTCACCGACTTCTTGACCCCGGCTGTCACGATCAGAGTCATGATGATGGCGATCACCATGGCAACCAGATCTGGGTATGTTTCGGCTGTGGTGAGTAAATATTGAGAAAAAAGACAGATTTTGTATCGGTTTTCTGAAACTGGATGATCGATTTTAAAGATGGTGATGATGGAACAGAAAATGTCTGCAATTTTGGTCACGGTGGCGGTGATAGTGGTCAACATGGTTGTGATGTTGGTGGTTGTAGTTGAGTTTGTGTCATTTTTCTTTTTTTGAAGCAAGAACGTAAATAACTAAATCAGATGTACTTTTGATCATCTAATGGCCACATCAGTGGAACACGGTAGTACTGATGAAAATCAATTCGTTTTGGTTTATACAGGGGAAAAAGTCACAGATCTATTGCATTCAGAAGCCATTTTGGAGGTCTGTCTTGTGATGTTAATTCCTTAACAATGACCGCACAAAAGGTCTACTCACTGATCATGTGCATCCTATCCGGTTCGTTAGTGTGACGTCACTTCAGTTTAAACCACGCCCACTGCACATTAAGTAGTTGGAACCATTGGAACCGGAAGCTAACGCAACTTGAGTGTTTAGCCAATGGAAGCTAGTATCAGTGGCGCGTGCGCGTGTATGACGAAGTCACTCACGAACCGGCTAGTGAACAAAAGCATTGATCTGAGTTTGAACTCACTGTGAATGCCGAAACCGCCAACGTGGTCCATCATGAACTCGCTGATCTTGTTGGTGAAAAGCGAATCCAGACAGCTGCTCAGTGCGCTTGCGCCGGCCGCTGTGCCAATCAGATACTCGAGGATCAAATTCCAGCCAATCACGAACGCCGTGAACTCCCCGACTGTGACGTAGCTGTACATGTAGGCGGAGCCTGTGGTCTTTGGCACTCGTACTCCGAATTCACCATAGCACACACCTGTTAAGAGACAAACAAATCAATTCAATTTCATTCATCATTTTGGTTCACATATCGATCAACACGAGCTTCTATAGTAAAAGTATAATAAAAGCAAATCAGCTTATAAATCTAGAATGTTGGAAATTTAGGGTATATTTATTTTGTTTGTTCGGTGAGTCAGTTTTTCATTCAGTGACGTCATCGAGGGAAATTGTCCAACACGACGGTCGTTTAATCCTCTGAGTTAAATGTTCTGTGTTGAATTGTGTGTAGTATTTTAGTTTAATACGTCGGGGGCAATCGTTAACTCCCAGCTTCATGTGGAAACTGTTATGTTCAATTTTCTGTTTTAAGTAGACGCTTTAGTCATGGATTGGTAAGACGCCTATCGAATGAGAAAATGTAATAATGTCTTAAAAATGCACACGGGTAGGACATGTTCCGTTAGCTGAAACTCCCTGAACGGTGTTTGAAGATTGAGACCTCAACTTAACACGGTTCATTTCTATCATCATCACGATAACATCAACAGGGTTTGTAAAGGTTTGGAGCCCGTTTATGCTGAAATCTGCAGCCTATATTTCGGTCGCATCTTATGTTACTTAGTGAATTTGAAAGTAAAGAACCGTTCATTGAATGAACGAGAAAAAAATGAAAATATTAAGTACCAACTGTTTTTAACGGAAAATTGATGCAAGACCATCGACCCAAACCATGCCCGACAAACATAAATGTCAAAGGAAATTAGGGGTAGGCTTATTTGAAATAAAAGAAACCGTTCATTGAATTAACCAGAAAAAAATAAGATATGAAAATAAGTACCAACTATCTGATGACAGACTATCGAGGGAATGAAGCCTGCGTAACCCACACCATGCATGCGGCAAACGGAAATGTCAAAGTTGATTTCGACGGTCCATGCAACCGGCTAAAGCAAATATTTGTGGGTTCTGATCGATTAATGCTTGTTCGTCACCCCAGCCCTAAACAGAACTGGACCGACTATTTAATCACCTAGGATTGACATGTTTTTCTATCGCTAAAGCCAGCTTTTTGTTTAACCAGGGCTCCTAGTATAATTGATGAAGGTGACGAGACAATAAGATATCAATAATCCGATAGACTTTTTGCTTGACGGCTGTGTCTCATCTTCATAATTAGGAGTAGGCCTACACTGGAATCGAATGCACATGTGCCTCGTTCAGATTCTAAATATGATGTCTTAATTTTGGTGAAATTGAATTGAAACCGACATGAATTCCAGTCTTAAGGAATCAAATCAGACATACACTTTTAAAAACATTTTTTAATCAAATTATTTACAACTGTCCGAACACATAATAAATGAGTAACTGGCTTCTTATAGTACGGCAGATAGGTGATGGGATTGTGCCTTTGATGATACAAGTATGGCATTTTGCACACAGAGCATTTCATGAGAAAGATATTTGGCTGTAGGGCCATCGCCGATTTTTCCTTTGACAAAAATATAGGTATAGAATTACAAGCAATGGCAGCCATTTTGAAAATTTTGAAAATTGCTTGTTCTGTTATTTTAGCTATATATAATTTTTATCTGCGATGGCCCTATAGCCACATATCTTTTTTAAGACATACTTTTACTGTGTGCCAACTGCCAAGTGCCATTCTTGTATCATCAAGGCACAATTCCCCCAAATATTTCCCCTATCTGTACCACTATAAGCATCACATGAAAATGTACAACCTGTATACATGAATATGAAACAATTGTGGCCAGGGAATATCTATCAATGAATTGTCTAAGTTACTTAATTGACTAATTAAGGTTTATAAATAAACTACAGCTCTGAAAGAAATAATTGAAATATTTGTTGAGAACATTATGTTACAGGCAGTGGAATCAAGGGAAATCACAGACGTAAATGATATGTCTAGTTAACCCACGGGGTTCATACTTATATGACAGGATCCGCTCTGATTGGACCGTCCACCACGGCAGGTGTCTATGGTGGAATATTGGATCAGATTGCCTAATTGAATTTGTGCAGTATGTGGCTAGGTTTGGGTCAGTGCGTGGGCTTTGAATTACATTAGGGCGGGCAGAGGCTAGAACTGTACTGAAAATCGTAAGATACCTTGATGTAGACATAGCCCATCTTTATTATAGGTGAGGTTCGCTTGATAATAATTTTGTTCAAAACATAACAATTCAAAAAACATCAAAGGTAACAATACTTTTCCCCTCTTTTCTCTGTTTTACAGATATCTTGTTTGCTGCTTCCATCCTGCGATTGTTTTCGGAATATGAAACTAAAATGATCGCGTAACTTGAAACCTTATCCCGCAATATGGTTATTTATTATTCTTTTATTTAATCATTCAGCTAATGCTTTTTATAGCATACAGTATTTTTTTCAATTTATGCAATTAATAGGATTCCCTTCTTCTTTTTACGTTTTCTCAGTCTTTACAAAAATATTTTCTTTCTTAATGGCCCCAGCGTTGTACACAGATTTAGATCGACAATAAGCCATCTTTTATACCATGTTGGCACATTGTTTCCCATTGTTTAATTAAAATTTGCCATCAACAAATTGTGTGTACGTCTGTATATAATATTTTACTTTGAGTTCTTACATATTCATTTAGATTTGCATATTAAGACTTTGTGCATTCTTCTTGTTAATTCCCAAAAGGTACGGGTCACATTATTTTCAGACCTGTATGTATAGTTATAATAGGCGAGTTTCGATTGATTTCGGAAGCTCAGATCACACCGCTCGAAATTCCGGAATTGGGAAAGAAAAAACAACGTCTGCCATGCCTGGCACCTTGCATCGCGCGTATCTTTCATCAGGCCCTGATGGAAATGTCAAGTGCATTGCACCGTATGCCTGCATACTGAAATTCTAATAATGATAATACGGGGGGGGGAGATGGTGGATCAACTGACAAACTGATCGTGGAACGAAAAATGCTCTCCATGACGACAACTGAATAGTACAGCTAGTACCAAGCACCACAAGAACCCTGCAAAATGGAGGATATACAGAAGCTATTTATTCTTCGTTCGAGACTCTTGGGATGAAAGTCAAAATAGGAAAATTTGAGAAATGTCAATGATCGAGGGACCGTAATCCGACCTGGATTTTTTTTTATTTGAGAAGAGCCATGCCTACGAGAATAACAAAGTGATATGACGCTTATTCGATCTGTAACCCAAATCAAAATACTGTATACAATTGCACTATAGTATACCAGTGCATGCCTGAATTTCCACCCAAACTGACGAGCATATAATAAGTTCCGCCATTTCGAGAGGAGATCGAGTCTCATAATTTAATCATTCCGACTCATATCATCATCTTTTAGTCAAAACAAAACATCATGAACACACAAGTTATAACGACTCCTTTTTTCGCACGTCGGTATTCGGGCAGAATAAAATATTAATGGAAATGAGAATGATTTCAGAAGCAAATTAACCAACATCATTATTTGTGCATAAAATGTCGAAATACCTCAATGGTAATTTTATTCGTGAGGGGAAGGCTCATAGAGTTAGTCAGCAGGTGTGATATAATCCATCACGATGGGACTTTGGCAGCCAGGCCTCTTAATGGGTGCGCGCATCCCTCTCTACTGCTGCACAATTTTGTTGGTAAACATGTATAGGCCTATAATGTCTTTTTAATCGTGATTGTAATATCAGCCCTGAGGGTGTAAAAATATACAACGCATTGTGTTTTCCTTTATTTTTTTTTCCTTTTCTTCTTAAAACAAAGAGCGTTTTTAAAACAATGCCGAAGTGTTGGTACGAAAGGCGGAAGATTACTCTACATCCCTGCCTAAAGTGAAATCTAACAAATAAAACTTGGTCCAGTTTTATTTGTTAGAAGATCAGTATTTGAGTATCATGGAATATTTCTGAGGTAATTGGTATAATTTTGATGTCTTAATATTTTTAGGTGTGTTATTTTGTTGTTTTATGGATAAACCATGATATCAGCTATTAGCTGCGAACTGGTACAATAAATATTTATTTATAAATTTAAATTAATACATAATATTATAATTATAAATTCAGATAAAAACCTGAACTACAGGCCCCAAAGTAGCTCTTAAAAAATCCATAACGCCCAAATCATCCCCATGCATGTGTGACTGCACTTGTCTTACTTTTACATGACGATGCTTTATTGTCAAAGCCCGTGTTGGTGAAACCATGTTTAAAAAAAATCTTTAATTCAACCTAACACCCAGGTCTAATATTATAAGCCTCTCCTCGAGCATTGAACCCATGATGAATAAGAAATCGTTGATTTTTTATTATTACCGGAAATTAAAATTTGCCCTACGCTCGGAGCAGCAGTGCTCCAAACGGCTGAGTTATTTATGCACATCGAAGCACATGCACATGACGCAGATTGCCATTTCTCCGACCAAGTTTGTTTTGAGGGACAAATTAATAGATGTATACTGAAAATATCTGAAGGCATTCCAGTAAATTAGCAACACTTTGTCTCAATGTTGCCAATTTTCTTTATCGGCACTCGCCGATTTAAGAACAGCTGCTGGCAGAAAGAAATAATGAGGCAAAACTAGAACCCAAAGCCCTAAAGAAACCTGGTTGGTTTCAATGTCGAAACAACAATGTTGTTTCCAATTCATACACCTGTATGCAACTATTGTCCGTACTGTAACTGACGAAGAGTTTCGATTCGTATGATTAAAATTGTATGTATATTTTCTATAAATTGAAGTTAAAAAAGTGATCGGTAAAATTTTGCTATTCCAATAAAAATTTTAACAAAGTATTTTGAGTAAAATATTTAGGATTATTTCTGATTGACGAGTTTCCAAAATTCCCCTCGTTTTTCAAAGTCTGTAAACCGTTCATTTTGGGCACTCAGAGACAGATCTAGCATTCAGGAAACGGGGGCGGAGAGGGGGGGGGTGATATGAAAGGGGATTGAGTGAAGGTGACGAAGGCACGCCCCGCTAGGGGTTCAGGGCAATACCCTCCTCCCCCCCCCCCCCCCCCGCCCAAAAAAATGGGAAATCTACGATGTTTTTCCCTGTATTCTAAGGCAATTTGAGAATACATGTAGGAACTTTATCATTCCATTTATTATTTTTTAACATTAGTCACCGACTGAAAGGGGAGGAATGGCACCCCCCCCCCCCCCGCCACTGGGCAGCCATAAACTAGTCGTCTGCTTCGTATACGCCTGACAATTTTACGGGGCAATTCATCTAAAGGGTGCACACCTGTAAATAGGCCTTAACCCATCCGCCGAGCTCATGAATAAAGTTATACCCTCAAAATATTCTATATTAGAGAGTTCTGAGAGCCATAACATTGGGGAATCAAAGAGATATGGCAATGAACCTTTGGCCCGGACTCGGGGCTTCCAATTCTGAGCATTTTGGATACAATTGGCTCGAAAGTGGCGCTTTTTTGCCATATTGTGGAGGGATCGTTTTTCAAGATGGCTACCGTTCCGCTTTGGGGAAAATAGGGGTCGTCTTCTTTGGGCGAGAATTTCTCGAAAAGTCAATGGTCAACCCACCAAAAAATGAAAAGAAATTGAAAGATGACATGTCGATCATAATTTTTCTGTGCAGCTTAAATACCTGTGAGAGTTCTGAGTATTTTTAAAAGAATTTTGAAGTATGGGCATTTAGCACTAGTGGCTATGGGAATTTTTTTGCACTGTTGCACCCTTATCGACAATATTTTGCATCTTCGCTGACAACCCGTGGCAGTATTTTGTCGACAATGTGTTCACCGGGACACTTCGTGCGCGAGGGTGTTAACTTGAGTTGAAGAGACTAGAGATGACGCCATTTTCTGTCCTGTCGTATTCATTCTCCATTTTCTGCCGAGAAGAGCAAGTTTGACACTATACATCATTTGGAACCGAATGTTGGCGCTGTAATTTTTTATTTTGGGGACATCACATGACTGCGGCTTTATCGACTTCAGAATTTCGCTCGTTCCATAATTGCACCATGCACAAGTCACGAAAACAATATTTTACAGGCTTAATGTATTATAGTGCCAAACATGTTGTATCAGATGAGTGAAGAATCATAATCGTATTGACAAATAGTGGATAAGTTAAAGAATTTGTTTATCAAGTTACCAGCTTCATTCATAAATAAATTTCGTCCTTACAATACCTCACACGCAGAATTAACATCAAAAATCCCTCCCGACCATCAATTTGTGATCGACGGATTCCCCGATCAGTGTGTCGTATTTTGCCTGCTTGCTTAATTGACGTAATTGTTCCCATGCCTTTGTTGTCAACTGTCGCCGCTAATTGGCAATTCTTAAGTGACGTTGGCGCTTGCGAACTGTCAGCGGTATACTGCGTCAATAATTGCTCGAGGATGCCGTGTGTGATTGTGTGCATGCATGCAAATTTCACTGAAAAAAAATGTCCTTGAGAATTATGACAAATACGGAATAAAAATTCAACCTGCGGTGTTCGTTGCTAAGGCCAAAAAAAAAAGTCTCCGGTTTCTGGTATGGAGCTTGCCCAAAAAGTGGTGCGGCGACGCGGCTTTTTTTTTTTTTTTACCTGATTTTTTTGCTTCAAATGTGTGCTGATGACTGCAAATGGTGCCCGACTAAACTTAGTGCAAATATATGGGAGTCCAGAGAGGTCACATAAAGCTTATTCTTGACCATAACCCAATCTAAAAACACGTTAAAATTGTGCAGCAGCAGGATTCCAGTCAAACCAGTGAGTTTGGCGGTTTTGAGACATCATCTTTCATTGAAAAAAAACCTTTTTCATTTTGCCGACGCGCATGGCTACGGCGACGCGCGCGCATACCAGAAACCGGAGACTTTTTTTTTTTGGCCTAATGGAGGTGATGGGCATTTAGAGCCTTTCTTACGAGCTCAGTTATCAACATGGCGGCTGATATCACGTGATATTTTAAGCGACCAACCAGAGGCGTTGTCAGCCTTCAAGGGTCCATGCGATGAATGTTTCTTAGAAACACATTTTGCACATTTTCCTACTCCTCTTAAATGTATGAAACTATTCGAATCCCTTTTTGGTAAATTTTATTGTAAAGTGCACTTTTTTTAAACATTTAACATTTTCCATGCTCTTCCGGACAATGGCGAGCGTTGTTGTTGTGATGTCATTTCAGGGAGACACTGTTCAGTTTAGGAGTTTTCTGTTCAAATGGTGAACCCACACATTTGCTCATTGAAAATATTTGTGAGCAAACTTTGCTCACTGGCTAACTGCCATGTACTGACACAACAACGAATCATCAAAGAAAAGAAAATTCATGTCTGCAAAATATGCAATAATCTAGCAACTTTTTTTGTGTGCTGAAACATCTGTATCATTGAGGTGTTAATGACATCAACGTTTTGCTCATGAATATGGAAATCCGCATTAGCATAAGAACAAAAAAAGACGAAAACGCCCTTGAAAATAAAACAAAAATTGAAAATAAGGTTAAATGGAACACAAAGGTGCATTTTCAAGGATTGCATTCAAACAATCACATTGCACGGAACACACCAATTTACATTTCGAGATCAAAATGAATTTCAATACTTGCAAGTTGTTCTCAATTTGGCTTTGTTTTCTCGATCCTATTCACACTGAACTAAAAAGACACGGTCCTCGAAATGAGATAAGAGATATTGATTGTCCTTGTCATGTAGGCTACTGGCTGATTCTTATTTGATTGGTACGTTTGGCCGACTGCGAAATAGAACCAAGTGGGCGTCAAAACAATGATTTAATCTAATCAATTCATTTAGTCTTTCCCGACTCAATTCCCTAATGTTTAATTACATCACTTCTCAGCTCATTGTTTCTCAGCTCATTGTTTCTTCAATTGTTTTAATTGCAAATGCCACGCGAATAAAATACGTCAATAAATGTCTCTTTGTATTTCCACAATCATGGCAATAATTCCATTCTGACCAATTTCTTCACCCAAGATAAAGTCAAACTTTGATTTTGGGTTAGATGAAACAAATGGCTAAACTTGACTTTACGTCTAATATTTCGGTTACTGATTACCATAAAAACCAGTATTTTAATTGATGGATCCCATTAAATTTTGCTCGGGTGCATTCGGCGATAAATGAGCACGGTAGGAGTGAGCCCGCAATAGCATTATATTACAGATCCACTTGGATACTAAACCCCCATTTTATACATAACCACGCCCCTTGCTATCTCACCGCTCTGAGATAGTTCCCCTTTAAAGACGATTATTGCAGAAATTCCAAATGTCAACTAATTCCTTGATCTAGTGTGATAGAAACATTTATTCTGCTCAAAAGGCAGTGATGTTTGCAATGATCTCAAACCACTATACCGCACGACTCGCTGTAAACACACCTTCAACATCAATGGCAAACATAATCATTGAACGTGGGGCGCTTACTTTCAAATTTCTCAAATGGGCACGTTTCATGATGCTTGTACAGAAAACCGGCATTAATTGTCAACATTTTGCTGACGAGTTTTTTGGTCGCGCGTTCACTTTTGTGGAGGCCAATCTCAATTGTGACAATGGCAAATACGGTCGACCGAGTCAGAGAACTGTTACTTTATTACTCAAATGTTTATTTGCAAAATCTTAAGTTAACTCTGTATTTTGAAAAAGTTCATGAAAACCACAACGGCGAAACTTTGGAGTGCCAGTCTCATAATACGACGGGTTGTCTATTCTTTTCAATGAGGCATTTCTCATGTCTGAGACTTTCAGGGGATTTTGAGCTTTTTGGGCTTCATGGATCTCGGGGTCGTATTTCAGGGTAAAACTTGTTTGAGGCATTGATTTTTGTTGATTCATTGATTTTTGTTCGTGGCTGCAAAGGCAAAACTATGTCTGTTGTTTCATTTGTTTCCAAAAAAAGGCACTATTTCAAGTGAACGAAAGAACTTACCTGACAAAATAGAGGCCAAAGCTGCCACCGTGAAAGACAAGATAACGCCAGGTCCAGCCATCTCCCTAGCAACCAGACCCGAGACAACATACATGCCCGTCCCCATACAGCTCCCCACCCCTAGGGAGACAAGGTCAAGGGTCGAGAGACACTTGGACAGCTTGCCGGGCACCGAGTCGCGGCGAGTGTTCATGCCGGAGATGTCCAGCGATTTGACGCGCACCAAGCGGCGCACGATGCTGTCCACAGCCGACCGGAAGCCCATTTTGTCGTCGGGGTACGCGCCCTTTGCAAGGTGTGGTTGCAAGCTTTAGCTCTCGTCTGGCTCCTGGATAATGGTGTTGCTAATCACTGAAGTTGTCACTGCAAGTAACATTAGAATAAGCAAATGTTAGATATTCTGGCGCAGCTGTTAATTTGTGTCAATAAAAATGTGCCAACAAAAATCACATCAGACTTGAGCAAGTCTAATTCACAAGTGACAGTGGGGGAGTCAGCCAGTCGGTCAGTCAGTCAGTGAGATAGGTACAAAAAAAAACACATAGGCTGGCCCACTCCCCCCAGCCTATGTGACTAAAAGACCCATTTCACATGTTATAATAGCGCCCTCTACCTTGGCTTTGCGAATAATACTTCTGGTTGAATAAATAAGGTATTTTGGGCTTTCGAAATCCAAATTCTGAACCACTGAATCAAACATAAACAATTGTTCTTACCACTGGCTTCATATCAACCGATTAAATGTTCCTCAAAGCATAACAGGCACCAAACTTTAGCTCAAATTCCTGAAGTACAGTTTGGGCCTAACATCCATTTCTTTCAGCCGAAGAAAAGGCCCATCAAAGATTATCATCATGGCACTTGTTTACGAATTTCAACCTTTTTTTGGACCATGCACAGCACCCCTTTAAACGATTGATTTACCACTTAGCTTCGTTGAACATCATCCACTATACCACGCAATTTGATTAATCGCGATTTAAGAAAGAAAAAAAAGAGGAAAAAAAAAACTATTTCCCCCAAGATTTTTCGTCTGCTCCATTTCCACTGCCTCGATCCATCGGTTCCTTGAAGATTGAGAACCCAGAATAGACAGGAGCGGATGTCGGAGAGAAATAAAGTCGTTCTGGGTCTACTGTTGCTAGTCGCTTGGGGTATGCCTTTATGGCCAGCAATAACAGTTATGAGCATCGGCAGCTGACGTCATGTTACTATCCGGCCAAGATTTCGACTAGGAGAGGGCGATGTGTTGCTGTTGTTTTCAGTAAATTGATGTGGCACCAAGGTGGCCGAGTGGTTAAGGCGTTGGACTTAAGTTCCAATGGACAGTAGTCCGCGTGGGTTCGAACCCCACCCTTGGTAAGTTTTTTCTTCTTCAGATATTACCGTTAGGTGATGATATCTGGCTCTAATATTCAAAAGTAATCCCTATGAGCATGCGGGAAGCCTGGTTAGCTCAGTCGGTAGAGCATGGGACTCTTAATCCCAGGGTCGTGGGTTCGAGCCCCACATCGGGCGATCATAGTTTTTGTTTTCTTTCCTTGTTTTTTATGTATTCACGAACAGATCTGTCAACGTTTTGAAATGAAACGTCTCTGTGAAAATTCAGCCTGGTTAGCTCAGTCGGTAGAGCATGGGACTCTTAATCCCAGGGTCGTGGGTTCGAGCCCCACATCGGGCGATGATGGTTTTTCTTTTCCTTTTTGTATGTATTAATGAACAGATCTTTAAACGTTTTGAAATGAAACGTCTCTGTAAAAATTCAGCCTGGTTAGCTCAGTCGGTAGAGCATGGGACTCTTAATCCCAGGGTCGTGGGTTCGAGCCCCACATCGGGCGAGCATGATTTTCTTTTCTTTTCCTTGTTTTATGTATTCATGAACAGATCTTTTAACGTTTTGAAATGAAACGTTTCTTTAAAGATTCAGCCCGGTTAGCTCAGTCGGTAGAGCATGGGACTCTTAATCCCAGGGTCGTGGGTTCGAGCCCCACATCGGGCGATCGTAGGTTATTTTTCTTTCCTTGTTTTTTGTATGTATTAACGAACAGATCTTTAAACGTTTTGAAATGAAATGTCTCTGCAAAAATTCGGCCCGGTTAGCTCAGTCGGTAGAGCATGGGACTCTTAATCCCAGGGTCGTGGGTTCGAGCCCCACATCGGGCGAGCATGGTTTTCTTTTCTTTTCCTTGTTTTATGTATTCATGAACAGATCTTTTAACGTTTTGAAATGAAACGTTTCTTTAAAGATTCAGCCCGGTTAGCTCAGTCGGTAGAGCATGGGACTCTTAATCCCAGGGTCGTGGGTTCGAGCCCCACATCGGGCGATCGTAGGTTGTTTTTCTTTCCTTGTTTTTTGTATTCGTGAACGGATCTTTTAACGTTTTCAAATAAAACGTCTCTTTCAAAATTCAGCCCTTAAAAAAATGGTCAAAATGGTCAGAAATTACCTCAGATCGCACCACAGAGCATCTAGAATCCAAACAAATTTCAGGGCCCTTAAGCGGGCCCCGAACCCCACGCCGTAATTGTTGGACCCACTTTTAGGGGGACCAAATTTTTGTTTGCCCCCCCCAAAAAAAAAAACAAGTTGTGTTCTGGTTCCGCCCCTGATGCGTGGTCTCCTCCCCGTAAAAATTCTTTACAAAATGTGTGGGAAATTGGCTGCCGTCTCGGCGCCAGTGGAGGAGGCGGTGAAAACGAATTGCTCAATTGAAAAATGCATTACCTCCCAGACAAGCAGAACGCTGAATGCATTTGCGGCCGTTGGGTGAGTGGGGGAGGGGGGGGGGACTGGAGTTTCGCCTTAAAAATCGATTCGTCTCGCGACGGAAAATATAGCGCAGTGGGAATATACAACCGAATACTTCGATTATTCGATGTTCCCTGGGGAATCGACTTCGCAAGAACACCCAAAGCCGATTTTGTGCGCAACCTGTGTTTATGATAATCACAGCACTGCTCGAGACATGGTAACCGAATACTTCGATTATCGGCTGATCCTCTGGGAATCGGTCGGCCGTCCAGCTCGATTTGTATGTGTCAGCATTACTGAGTCAGCGAGTGTCGACTAAATTGATGCTCGGAATGACAAGCGGATGAAATATCAGACTCGAGTTGCAGCCCGAGGAATAGGCTTACTTCGAAATGATGATGAGTTTGTTATTTGGAGTTTTTACAAGATCTGTATGGTGATCGTTTAAGTAGATTGCATGTATATGGAAATGCCGACTTGGTTTTTTTTTTTTTTGGTACTCATGGTCAGAGTCTGTACAGTTAAGGGACATAATTACCATGGACGGTTTATAAAAGGGCGATGCCGCTTAAATTCTGATAGTCATACCTGTTTGTGATAACTTTGTTTTATATAAAATCTTGTCGTATAAAACTTTATGTAAAAAATATCGTAATCGACACCGATCACGTTTGCCTGTACAATTATGTATGTGGACTTATTTACCGCAATACTAGCTCGATCTAATAAGCAATATTACTGGTTTTGAGATACCCTAATTGGAAGTCCAAAGTATTAGGTGTTACGTCATTCGCTAAAATAAAACAGATGAAGCCGAACCGTAAATACGATAATGAAATAGCCACATAATAGGCCTACTCGATGACACGTTTCGTGGAGAAAGAACTTGGTTGACACTGACGCTATTTTCAAATTGACGGCAGTTATCGCATTTTCGCATTAGCACATTTCTGAACTGTTTCTATCACGCATTTTTGTTACATGTCATAAAAGTATTTTGGTGTTTTCGGTGTTACCAAAGATCTCAATTGTTTTCCAGTATTTTGTACGTCCCACAGTCCCTGCAGGTTTATGGCTGTCTTCTTATGATGCTTTCAGAAAAGAGTGGGAAAATATTCCGTTTGACGAGTGGACGACAGATGGACACTGTTGACTCTGCAATCAACGTCTTCATTAATCTGTCCACTGGGCACTCAAGTTGGATTAGACTTGTCTCGTATCCTAGATACATATACTTCCAAAGAAAGGAAGATAATGGAAGGACTAGGAACGAGTCTAGGTTGTATTTTAACATTCAGTGATTTAAATTCTCCAACACTGACATCGTGCATTTCCTTTTCACCCAAAACCAAACTGGAGTATGATACTATGTTTATGACCTTTTTGTCACTATTAAAGCAAGATAGTTTACAGCAATAATGACTGTTAATTATGGGTAAACCGTATTTCATATCGAGTAAGCAGAGTTCGATACCAGCCAACTCATGGGTTTAATACTGTTGAGATTGGATGAATGCAAGCAAGTTGGTGAGTTGGGTGATGGGGGGGGGGGGTCATTACGTATAATTATTCAAACTAAGGATCTCTGGGTTTTTCTCTTTAAATTCACCTAAAACAGAGCACGTATGATCAAAAATGTTCACAGCGCAAAGCACCTTCAAACAAATTTTTAAAGGTGTTCACATTCTTCTTTTGAAACACGACACTTTGGTTTTAAACCAAACGGCAATTACTGCCGAAAAAAAGAACCAAAATTGATATCAAATTGTTTGATCAACAAGACCAAGGTGGCCGAGTGGTTAAGGCGTTGGACTTAAGTTCCAATGGACAGTAGTCCGCGTGGGTTCGAACCCCACCCTTGGTAAGGAGTTTTTGTTTTTTTGCTGCTTGCGTTTTTAACAAGGAAATTGTTAATTGTATATTTTGATATTCTACACTTATTAAAACAATAATGTGAAGCCCGGTTAGCTCAGTCGGTAGAGCATGGGACTCTTAATCCCAGGGTCGTGGGTTCGAGCCCCACATCGGGCGAGCATGGATTTTTCTTTTCCTTGTTTTATGCATTCATGAACGGATCTTTTAACGTTTTGAAATGAAACGTCTCTTTAAAAAGGCAGCCCGGTTAGCTCAGTCGGTAGAGCATGGGACTCTTAATCCCAGGGTCGTGGGTTCGAGCCCCACATCGGGCGAGTATGGATATTTCTTTTCCTTGTTTTATGTATTCATGAACAGATCTTTTAACATTTTTAATAGAAATGCCTCCATAAAAGTCATGTTTGATTTTGTTTTACAAAAAAAAGGAAGGGATCTAATACATGGGATATTGACTAATCCGAGCAGGCTATCACTGTTTACTCAATTATTGCGATAAAAATTGTGCCAGTTTTTTATTTTGAGTTCAGAGGCAGTGACACAATTTCTTCGCCATTGCAGGGGGCTTTCGTGGGTGTACATTGCAAGCCTGCACGGATTAGTCTCGGGCTAATCTTTTGAACATGCACAGATGTTGATGGATCTTTGTAAATATTAATAATAGTCATTCAAGATACTGAAACACCACCAAGGTGGCCGAGTGGTTAAGGCGTTGGACTTAAGTTCCAATGGACAGTAGTCCGCGTGGGTTCGAACCCCACCCTTGGTATTTAAAGTTTTTTTTCTTCTTCAATGTTTCTTCTCTCATTTCACATGTCTTTGAAAAGAAGTGTATATCGAATTGATGTGAAGCCCGGTTAGCTCAGTCGGTAGAGCATGGGACTCTTAATCCCAGGGTCGTGGGTTCGAGCCCCACATCGGGTGATAGAACTTTTCTGAAATAACATAATAAGGTTCGTAAACACATCTCTTTTTAATGCATGTGAATAAAAAGATGTCAGCCCGGTTAGCTCAGTCGGTAGAGCATGGGACTCTTAATCCCAGGGTCGTGGGCTCGAGCCCCACATCGGGCGAGTATACCCCCAACCCGGGTGGTCAACTACCTGTGGTTACACAAAAATGATTTTATAAACAAACATCCTGACACGATTTGTGAGGTTTTTATTAGGTACTATGTTTTTTTTACATCCTGCCCCATCCACACTCTTGGGAAACAGACCAAATTATTGACATTTATTTTACATGATGTACCGACACAATTTTTTTTTTTCAAACCAGATAATTCCAACCAAGAACTAACGAGAAGACATCCATCACCGCCTTATTATCAATTTCCTTATAATTTACTTCAAATGTATTCCCCATCAACCGCTCATTTTGATAAATCAGGCGTCCAACTGTTTCTGTCTATGAAAGGGTAGAAAATAATTGAACTCACCTGTTTCGTCGCCATTTTCAGACCATTCCTTCACCAACTGCTAGATCTGCCCCTATTAATCCACAGTGCGTAAACCTTTAGTGCCGACTGCTATACAGTTGTGTGCGCACACGCCTTCACAATGCACAGTGATGCAAGCAAGGAGTCCCAACCTAAGCAAAATAAAAATCATTAAATATTCACCGTCCTCCGTCAAAAGGAGCCTCCTATTCGTTTTTTTTCTTCTCCCTCTCTCTTCTTTCTCCTTGAGACTGTTTCCTCCTTTTGTCCTCACGCCTGATTGTGCAGGGATCCCTGAGAATCACAGAGAAATCCAAAACACTCACCTTGAAATTTCTATGTGGTTTCCCCCAAACAGACCGTTTGTCAAAACCGTTTGAGGGTATGAAACGGTTGAGAACACGCATTGGGTTGAATTTGAGCTTTGGAAATTATGGAGGCAAGCTTTTGAACACCTTGGAGGGTTTTCGAGGGGAGTTTTCAGCGTTGGTCCCTGTCTGCGCCTCATACCGCGGTAGTCAATTAAAGGGAGGAAATTATGCGCGCCTCTTGACCAGTCTATCGCCGTCACTGCTCTCCTAGGCATGAGTAATGGTGGCCATGACAACGCGCATGCGCCGTGAGACGGGTGATACCTTGGTCGTTTTCTACCCGTTGATGATGAGGATAAATTGGATTGTGAGCGGCTGGAGCTCGCACATTTGCCGCCAACATCTCCGTTCTGTTTCATGTTATGTACTGGCTAATTTCAGTCTGGGCACTTGCGACAAAAAAAATCGAAGATGTCTCGCGATGTTGCCTGGCTTGCAATAATTATTTATGTTGTTAGAACAAAAGATCTAGACCCTTAGCGACTGTTTCATGTTTCGTTGATAAATATTTAAGACTCAGAAATCCTCAAAAGTTTCTTGCTCATTGTGTCATTCCCGCAAATGAAACATAAATAAATTTAAAAAAAAAAAAAAGGCAAAACAAAAAAAGCCCAAAACAAAACGTACAAAAATTCGGACAAAATGTGAGTTTGTAATTAACTCGATTTGTATGACCACATTATTGCTGTCCAATAGGCAAACATTGATTACGCACAATGGATGTATGTTTTATCCAAATTTTCGTGTGCAAACATTTTGCACGCACGTCGGCCAACAGCAAGGATATTTAGCAGACACCTTTAATCGTTTCCCGCCAATTCTCCATGGGAATAGTTTTGAATATTTATCATGCCATAGCAACCTCAGTAAAATATTCATAAGTTCTGAATTAATCATCTTTTGGCTTGTCATTATACGATATGAGTAACCGAAATGCCAATGCACTGTTTCGAGTTGTAACTAAAAACATGTTTAGTCCAGTAACTGACGCGAACCGTGGGTACGTTCATATTTTCTAGGTTTAATTTCTGAAACCAAATTGATCTCTTTTTTTGTCTGGGTCCGATAGATTTTTGTCGACAATCAAATTTGGCCACACTTTTTCCTACAAAATGAAAAGAAAAAAATTCTTTGAAGTACAAATAGAGACGTAGTTATACCCTTTTCTATTGGGACATAATACACGATCGCGTCAAACAGAACGTACACAATGCCTGATCAAAAAGGGCAACACAAATACACAATAAACGTATCAAAGTTTGTCAATAACAGCAATAAATGTATAATACAAAACAAAACGAAGGAACAAACCATTTTCGCTCCAAATAGAGCAAATGCCATCGTTTATTCCAGATATGAAAACAAAAACATAATGCCCCTAGCACCTTTAGAATAGTTTATACTGTGCGTGTGTGTGCGGTTTATTCTACACAAGCAGGCTATAATTAACAAGCTGTGCAAATTTCAAAACAGCAAAACGCAGACTGGAATGGGTTACTAAGAGGGCGCTATTCATTCTGAATGTAATGATAGAAATTGGCAACCTTGGCCGAAGTAGCGCAATCGGAATGTGCCATAATAGACGTAATTATTCATGAGTTAATAATCTTTTCATGACCTACTCTTGATCTACGTAGTGCATCAAGCCCGGTTCATACTCGGCACGAAAGCGAACGCGAATTTGGGACGTCATGGCAAGTATTCGCGCTGCGAATTCGTAAACGTTGAACACATTTCAACTCGGGCGAATTTCGCAGCGAACGTACGTCAAATTCGCTTCGCATTCGCATTCGCAATGAAGTATGAAACGGGCTTGATGCTTATTATCATCAACGAGGCGTGTTTAGCATGAGAGTTGTGACATGTCGGCCATATGTTTAGCCTAGATTGTGCTGTGCCCACTACAAAACCACTTGAATACATCGTCTGTTTTTTTCCATGATTCACTCATATCCTTTTTATAGCTCCATGATTCACTGCATCGAAAATTTACATCCATATACGCAGAGCACAACATTTCACAGATGAAACAGCTCCCTCTCAATATTGTTTTTCCACAATTACAAAAATACACAGCAAACTCTCAGCATAATACACAAAAAAGGCAGGACAGAAATAAGTCCTCTTTTTCATAACAAAAACTCCCAGAGGAATTAATGATTGTAAAACCGTAACAAAAGAGAACGAAAAACCAGCATCGGAATGTTTTCGTCAACAGCCATATTTGGAAGCACATCGCGTGATTTCACGTGCGAATCAAACGCGGCGTACATTTTGTTGTGGGTGATTATATTAAGTCACGTGATGTATTTCCAAAATGAGTCACTGGCAACACAGCTTCTTGCTCATAAATACTTTTTGAAAAATCCTGTTTTCTGATGTGGCACAGAATCATGTCCAGGGTATGCGTGTGGGCGGGCAGAGGCTCGACCCACGGATTAATAAATGATTGTGAACGTAGGCATGAATATTTGCACCATTATCTATCCCACCATATGGACTGAATTCTGTTAATTACTCTAGGCCACCCACGTATCGACATTCCAGAGACCTGGAGATTCTGTGCCACAAAAGACAAATACGCCACCTGTTCATACGAACAGCGCCCTCTGTTGGATTTTTTTTTACCACAGCGCTAACAACACGGTTCAGTTTTTGAGACTTGCACTTTTGATGAACTCCCTGTTTAAAAAAATAACAAATAAACAAACAAATGGAACATTATTTTCTGATTGCTGAATTTATAGCAGATAGTATTAGAGTGTGAACAAGGTAGGCCATCAGCCTGGGGGTTTGGTCGGTATCAAATGAGGGGAATAATGGTCATTGTGGTTTTTGGCCAGGTATGCACCCCTGTACTGTAGTTGGAAAATATGAGATAGCGTCGCAGGTGTTGCAGCTTTTTGGGTGCTATATCACTTGTTTTAGAAAAAAAATGGCAGCCAAAACAAGCTTGTTACCACATATAATTAATCCAGTTCAAGCATATTGGCGGCCATTTTGGAATTTTTTTTTTAAAGTGATGACACCCAAAAAAACTACCACCGCTTACACTACAAAAGCTATACTTTTCCGATTCTAGATGTGTTTACCTTGCCAAAAATCGCTATGAACATTGCTCTTTTCGATCATTTGATACCGGTGGCTCACTTTTTGGACCGAAGCTGATAGCCCGGCTATAGCCGGCGGCGGAACGTGACGATAAATAGTTCAAACACAATGCAACAATTTTTTTTCTTACAAAAGGTTACTGTACAATTCACCCTATAGACCAATCCGGGCACGATGTCAATTCTATCACGAAGGCCCCCTCAAGTTAAAGGGAATATACAACATTTGCAAACATAACAAAATAAAACTATCAAATTATTTTGAAATACTGGAATGTTAGTGAATGACAGTCTTAAGCATCCTGTAAACTCATGGCACCTGGTATACTACTGAAAAGTAGTATTTTTGCATTAATTTCCAACGCTGGTCGGCCGACCAGCGTTGGAAATAAAACTGGCTTTTTTCAAATACTGGCCCCGTTTGACCATATTTAGTTAGTCCGCATTTGTTTGTGATCGATTACACACCTATGAACAAGCCAGCTAGACTGGTTCCCTGATTTTACAATTCCCCAATCTCTATAAATTGCTCTGTTTCATCTTAAATGGAGTCCGGGAACCAGACTACAGGAAAATGATTGCTTTTCTTGGTTTTTATGGCATCTACGAACCCAAAACGTCAAAAAAGTAGGTTTAACATTTGCTATATATTACCGACCCCCCAAATCCATCCATTCTGAAAATTACAGCTAAAGCAAATGATGTATAATCCCTTAAATGGCGAATGCACTGTGTTAGCTGTTGTTCAGATATCCGCAATAGGGAGGTACCTCTTGCTGGCACAATGCTTTCGCCATTGAAGGGGGCCTCGTGTGTGCACAACAAGCACGCATCTGGATTCGTCTATATATAAAAGAGCTGGGGGGTGGGGAGGGGCATCTCACAGCCGGTAAGGAGGGGCGCATCCCCCACCACAGATACACAATGACACATTTTTATGAAATTTTGTTGCCTAGAAGAAATTTTCAAGCTGAATATATATACGGATGAGAGTTTTACCTCAATCGGCCGAAGCTGAATTTGGTAATTATATATACCACGCATCCCTGAATTACTGCCTTTTCTTACGTCAATATATAAGCGGTACCTGTGTCGAAAATGTAACTTTGTTTCCGCAAATGCTACGTCCGATTTGTTTTTTTTATAAAATTAGCTTCACAACTTCTCCAATGAGGACATCTGGGTTGGATTGTGCCCCGGCTCTTCTAGGGTTAATACTAAATCTGAACAAAACTGTAATTAATACTGCTAAGAGTAAAAATCTATTTCAAATCCTAAACAACAAAAGATTCGTTGCCTCGAACAAAAGTAGGAGGGAGACAAGCTTCAAAAAAGTTCCAAATGAAATACAAATTTCGTAAGAAAACAAAACAAAACCAAACATAATTCAACATGTCTGATAACTCTGGTGGTGCACTAAAAGTCAAAGAAACCTGAGAAGTTATCAAATAAATAATTAATTGAACGGGATTATACAACGTACAAAAAGATGTCAAGAGCTTAAATGTTATGGATCAATGGACCGATCCAGTAAGCACCGCCCCATGGTATTCTGACCAATCACAGCCGTGATTTATGTCCGACATGCGTGCACGCGCGCGTATGCGCGAGCAGGAAAATGCAGTGTGGCATTGGAGAGGAGCACGTGTTATTAATTTGCCACGTGCGCAGTGGGAGGGGCTTACTGGATCGGTCCATTACTATCGATGACCGATTGATTGATTGACTGACTGACTGATTGGTCAATGATTCGCTATAAACTATATAATTTTAGAAAGCCCGGCATATTCTACATCACTTCGATGTAAAAATCAATTCGATGTAAATCATTTCTTAAAAAAAAAATCATTATTAATTTATTATAGGGGAATGTATATCTCTTTGTAATTATGTACAATTTATACTCTTCTTTACATTTATATATCTAAAATATAAAAACAATTCCTTTTAAAGATTTTTTTGTAAAGGGTTTAAACGAAGATTTCTTTATTTAAATTGTATGTACATGTGCACTTAATGCCAAAATGTCCAAATACACCCCAAGCTTGCTGGTACAAATAGAAGAAATGATAACTTGAATTTAAAATATTTGTTTTCACAATTCAAAGTGAAACGCACAGCCAATTCAATTTCGTCACCCCAATTTTAGAATTTTAGAAAGCTTGTCCACCGATGCGTGAAGAACCGTTTCATAAAAAAGAAATTGAGAAGGCACGACTGATGAGAACGCTTCTATTTTTCTCAAAACTCAATGAAAATGCGAACAAAGAATTCAACACAGAATATAAAAAAAAATGAATATTAAAAAAAAATGAATGGAAGATCTGTGGTGCATAATATTGTACAACGTGCATAAATTGAAAATCCATTTTAAAGTGGCTTAGTATCAACGCAAAACTAAACAGTGCATAAATAAATAAATAATGCGTGAACTCCGGTGAAAGAATATTATGCTATTTGAAGAATAAATTAATTAAAAGTTGCTTTGCGCAAAACTAAAAATGATGCAAACTCAAGCCAATTCAAACACTAAAATAGGACCAAAAAAATAACGTACTGGCAACAGTTATTATGAATTCGAGGCAGACCAAAAAAAAACTTATTGGAAGAACGTAAGTATTTCTGTAAGAACTGAAAATGATGTGGTCGAACCACCCAACCTTTTTAAGTTCTGTCTCTTGATATCTGCCCGTTTACGAATTCCTGATGCATGGCCTGTATAGGATGCGTTCCTCCTCGAGCCATGCATCCCAACGTGTTAGACGTCAGGGCACCAGACCAGCGTCGCCATGGCTACGGTGTCTCGTGAAAATCTTGGTAGCCAATGTTCTGGCGTTTGGGTGTCTGCCCGTTTACGAATTCCTGGTGCATGGCCTGTTCGGGAATGGACGGCAGTAGGATGCGTTCCTCCTCGGGCAGCCGGCAGTAGTATCTCCTGGCCTCTACGCTGTGACAAATACCGTAACAGAAGTACACACACAGACCTACACACAGGGGGCGAGAAATCAGTATTGAATTTTCTTCTTATTGGGTACTGCCCTCCATTATGTAATTCCTTGAACACTGTATACACACTGCTAAAACAGAGTTTGTGACAAAAATAAAAATTTCATTTCAACTGCAATTTAGTCGCAGCTAGGATTGAAACCTGACAGGGATTACGATGTTTGTGTTCTTGAGCAAGAGACTTTACAGCAATTGCCTCCCTCCCCAGGTGTAGAGCAAACACGTTTAGCTGATGTCGAACTGATGCAGAAAATCGATCTCTTGTCCTGATGAACAGGGGCAATAAAATAACGTGGAGCGCTTTGGGAGTTGGGACCATTGGTATAAAGCTCTATATTAGCACTGCTTAAGCTATAGATCGTTTGCACTGCGGCCATCTTTGAGGTGTGTGCTTTTGTTCAACAGGGATACGCACAAGACAGTTGGCCTATTGACCTATCGCGTTAGAATCGTGTTAGAATCGCGTTAGAATCGCGTTAGAATCGCGTCAACGCAGCTTGTGAAATATTGTCCATTTACATGATATACAAAATGGACGCAGAACGCGTGTGACAAAACAAAACAAATCTGTGACAAACAAAATTCCATAAGGTTGTCTAATCTAAGAGGCGTGGCTAACTCGCAAACGGTGATAGTTCAATTGAGCCTTCGTTGTTAATGAATTAAGCCTAACCTCCCCCAACTCCATCAAAATCCATCCCCCATTTTGGTGGATTTTGGGGACTTGGTCCTGCAGGCCTGGTTTGACTTAAAATTGATGGAGTCTGATGAACTTAGGCTTGGAGGCCTGAAGCAGTGCTAGGCGAATCAGATTGGTATAGGAAAATGAGCAAAGATGCCTAGTATCCTGTGCTGCTGTTGTCATAAGCCATGTGTTAATTAAGTCCATCAATATCCACCAGTATACTTCAGTGGTGGAATACTTTATGTCATGTATTGGAAGCAGGATGAGTGATAGATTTTGGCGGACTTGGTCCTCTACTTAGTAAAACACAGTAGGGAGTTAGTTAACAAGGGAGAACCTCAAAGATGGCTTCTGAATGCAATCGATCCATAACTGGCACAAAAAGAAACTAAGCAGTTTTATAATCATCCTTGTTTGGACATTTCTCGGTGAACACAAAATCCGAAATATACGTTCTGTCACGGAAACATTCCGGTTCAATTTGATACCTCACTTGGGAACACTGTGTAAGAAATAACGAGAGAGCAAGCGCTGAAACTCCTGAAACCCAAAAACTAAAAGTTGCACTTAGCGAGATTTTCAATGGGCATTGCAACACAATATTATTGAATGCAATGATGTAGGCTCGGCATGTACTTGTGTTGCAATGCCATTGAAAATATGTTAAATTGGTTGTTGATTATTCCCACGCAATCACAATATCAGAATGTACTGCATTCAGTATTTATATCGGGTTAAATAATAACATCGAGTGATATTAGTTTTTCGATTAAAATAAATAGTTAATGATACGTAAATGAAGTCTAAGTGATGAGTGGAGTTGCTTAACATGTCATTATTAATTTCCAAAAACATGAATTTTCAAATCAGCTAATAATATGCAAATATCATTGGTTTTGCCTCTGAAATGCTTTTTCGCACTGTGTTGTAACTCACAAATGTTCACCAATCACAGATTATTTTTAGCTGCATCGAACTATAATTAGCTGCTACGACAATGGTATTAACCGAAGTTTTCCAACAATGCATTACTGTATTTTAACCCCATGGATTGATTTTGTTGATCTTGTGAATCGATAAAGTCATAAAAGGTCGGTATCGATTATCAGCTATGGATGAACCAATTAACCTTTGGTGTTTTTTTTTAGTATACATGATTTGGCCTGAGCCACACGTACGCTTGCATTTTGTGACATTGACCTTTTTATGTACAGAATACACGATGACCCACATGTAAACAAGCCCGTCAATAGTTAATACAGCTCTACGTGCATTTTCACAGCTTAAGGTTTTCGTGACACCTGTTATAGTAATTAGAAATGGTCCGTCGAGCTCCAGTAAGTAGGATGGGTTCAATGAAAAAGCTTTTGATGGGGGAGTTGAGTTGTGCTGGCTCGAATGAGGTCATGGTATTTTTTTTTAGAGAAGGTTTAGCTTGGCTTCTTATGGTTCAATTTCATATGGATTAGGTATAGATGCATAATGAAAGTTAAAGTTGGGTAGGTTGGCTGTCACAATTGCGTTTTGTTCGTTAATGATACCACATTTAACAAAGGCATGCAAAAGTAAAACCGTTTCTGTACCTCGGATAAAGCAGTTATCCCAAATATGAAAGGCGTTTTTGATGAGCTGTGGCGAATTTGGTTGAATTTGGACAGAGTTGGCTGTTAATGGTTCAGACAGCTAATAATAGACTACTCTGGATATCATAATTATTGGTACGTTTTGTTCGTTAATGATACCACATTTAACATAGGCATACAAAAGTAAAGCCGTTTCTGTACCTCGGATAAAGCAGGTATCCCTAATATGAAAAGCATTTTAGATGAACTGTGGCGAATTTGGTTGAATTTGGATTGAGTTGGCTGTTAATGGTTCAGACAGCTAATAATAGACTACTCTGGATATCATAATTATTGGTAGCCAGTATTACGGTGGTAACACGCTAGCGCGCAGGTTGCACTCGCGCAGTCAATGCTCCTACCAAGGGACCGTTCTTTCGATCGTTTGGAAACAAAGAGGGCCATTTTTGTATGGTTTGCCACATGAGGGCATAGCTTTATAGCCATGGTTGGCAACAGATTTGGCCAAAAATTGCATATTGACACCCCCGTTATGTAAGATTGAGGCAATTTCTTTATTAAGTCTTTGATAGCGTGTGTTGGTTATTTTGTATTTTTAACAATCCAACTGATAATGTTTGGAAACATTTTTATAACAATTCTTAATTTCTTTTTGCAACGTGGTTTGCCAACCCATGGTTCGCAAAAAAATAGTCAACCACAGGTTGACAAAAGAAAGGTCGATAAGATTTTTACAACGTGTCAATTGGAACGGGCCTTTGGCCACATCATTACTGACTTCTAATTGTCTACATCTTTAATTCCATCTTACTTACCAAGGGTGAGCCACACCATGAAGACAATCCATGCCTCAGCACACAGAAAGAACAGCAGACCAACATTCGCTGCGATCCCTAAAAACGGCAGCAGGGGGAACAGTGACGTCATGAACACCGGCTTCACCTCCCGGCGTGGCTGCGTAACAATCACCAACAGACAAACAACAACGACGACAAAGAAGACGAACAAACCAGAGATGGTCCAGGGTTCCACGGATGGCATGTAGGGTACGCGTTGGGTCAAAATGGCGGCCAGGACAGCTGTCCAGAGGCATACCAGAACGGAAAACCCAGCCGCCATGTTGGAGGTGAATACTGTCGGACCTTTCAATATGCGGCGGCCGTTGTGAGGATTCTCTAAGTGTTTGATAGACGCCACGCGAAGCCTGTCTTGGTATTCCTCCACAATGGCGTCGATGTCTGTTTCCTCGATGTCCGAGGCGCCGGAGCTGTCTGATGTCTCGTCCCGGAATCGCACCGATTTCCCGTTGGTCTGCGAGGCGTCGACCACCGCGGGCGAGGAAGCGTCTTCCTCGGTCTTCCCATCCGCGTTTGATTGTTCTTCATTCTGAGGTGTTTGCTTTGTCTTGCGTTTGGTATGGTGACGCGGGCCGCCGTTGCTCAACACGGGCTTTCTCCCCTCCTGCGTTCCCGGGTTGGTCACCTGACCGTTTTTCAAGATGTCCTCCAGATTGATGTTTTCATTGACATCCAACTTGATCTTTTGGAACCGGTGGGAAAGAGTGCATGCGCAGACGATGAGTTGTTTCGCCAACAGGCCAAGTGCCATTAGCTCCAGGAGCGTCTCTTGTTCCACTGCGATGGCGATCGCTCCGCAGATGATCCCAAAGATGGCGGCCGACAAAAATGGCGACTGGAGTCTGGAGACTAGTTTGCCAAGGAAACGAAAAACAAGTCCGTCGTTTCCCAGCAGGAAGACGCTGTACACCAGCGAACACATGTTATTGAACAGGGCGGAGCCCAGACAGACTATTGCACTTATCCCGACGGTGTACTTGGCCCAGTCCCCCCAATGCGTGCCGAAGAGTCTCGTCAAAAACGGGTTCCCGCTCCTCCAGGGAAAGGGCGCCGCCAAGAGGAAAAACATGGCCAGCACCAAGTAGAACACTAAGTTTATTATGGACGAGATGGCCAGGGCGTGCGCGATGTGGAACGAGGACGACCCCGAGCTTTTAGATGACGTTGAAATGACGTCATAACTACTGAAGAGAAAAATGAAAATGGCTGCTCCGCGGAACACCTGCCAAGAGAGAGAAAATAGCTTTACAGCGTCCACATCTGTTAGATGTATTCTAATATTCGAAATAATTAAGTTGTTGGAAATGCGGGCATGTTTCTCTCAGTTATTCATTAAATGTTTTAATGGAAAAGCTTAAGGTCAATAATTATAAATATTGCAATCATGATTCCACATGACCTTTGGAGCATTAAGTGATCTCACAGCGGCTTGCGAGCTGTATGCTAAACCAAATGAGTGTGTTGATCATCGACCCGTCTGGATCAGTGATGCTTGCGCCCCCACCCCCGCCCCCGCCCCCCGAGAAAAACTAAAGGTAAGTTTTATTACCTCCACCAAGGAGTTTATGTTTTCATCGGATTTGGTTAGTTTGTTGGTTGGTCAGTTTGTTGGTTGGTTTATCTGTTAACAAGATAACTCAAAAAGTTTTGGACTGATTTGATTGCAAACTTGTTTTAGGGGTGGTCCTTGGTACAAGTACAAATCCATTACATTTTGGAAGTGATCTGGATCTGTGTCTGGATCCAGGATTTTTTAAAAAGATTCTTCACCATTTATGTGAGTATTTCTTTTGGGTGTACTGACTATATTGCGGGAAATTGTTTAACCTTGGCGCATGATTGCGCTCTCAGAGTGCTACAGTTACATCTTACGAACTTTCGGCATGCATTGAATTTGATTTGAATTTTGTTTTGTTTTTTTGCCTACTGATATGGTAAGGGACATATTCAATCAACAGCTATGCGGGCATAATAATTTGACAAACTGGAGGTTGGAAAGTTGCCAGGAAATTTCAACAGCCTGGTTTCCAGCAAGGAACCGCAGAGTTTTGTAATAAAAAAGGACGAGCTAAGGTGAAGGCCGTTCTTAATTATGCACAGCCACGTTTGTGCAAACACAAAACCATAAACATTCTGTCGATAACAATTTTGATAATGATGGTCCTTTTGAGTATGATATTATAGTTTTCGTACTTACAGAGATAACCAATTACACTGAACTCTATTTAAACGAAAACTCATCTATAGCTAAGTCGGAAATTGAAGATGACCTAAAATAGGGGTCAATGCAAGACGACATGTAACAGGTTCAAGATGATGCCATCATTTTTGACACTGAGGCACATCAAAATGCAATAAACTCATGTACGCCTGGTGTCCTGTGTTGTGGTGATTCAATATACAAAAAAAGCATTTTTTGAATCAGTTTTCTTGCTTTATAATTATGATTTTGATCGTTTTGAGTTGGTGTTTCCTTTTTTAGTTTTGGTATAAGTTCTGATTGGAAACTTTTTGGGAGCTGGTTAGGCCCTATGGGCGTGATTTCAGACTTTGCAATTCTAAGTTGGGCAGGTAAACTAGAAGCATATAATTATAAGTATATTTATTATTTCATAAATCGATAAATATATATATCCTTGCGGTCATTCTTTGTGATCACGATGTTGTTATTTATTTCCATACTAAAAAAGAAAGAAAAATGAACACCACTGCATGATTAACGAATAACGAATAAGGTATTCCTCTTACCCCTTTGTGTCCCTCTGGAAAGATGTTGGCCGTCAGTGGAAAGCTCTGATTGGCCAGCTGGATTCCCGCCAAAACTATGAGAGCCAACACCACAACGCAGGACACCACGCTGAATATTGCGTTGGAAAGTGACGCTGGTTTCCCGCCGACGGACACCAGCAAAGCCACCACGGCAACCACGCCGAAGGCTAAGAAGTCTGGTTCCTGGACGTACGCCGAGGCAGCCGTGTCCTCAAGCGCGTAATCAGTGAAGTTCTGGATCGGATTTCCGATGATGTAATCGAATGTGGAGCTGACGGCTCTCCCTAGCAACGCTGAGGCGGCGAGATAGACGAGAACTTGACACCAACCTACCACAATGGCGGGGAACTCACCAGACAGCATGTAGATGTAGTGATAGGTAGAGGCCGGCATGGATCGGGTTGGATAGTGCGATGTGTACTCGGCGTAACAATAACCTGCATCACAACATAAAAAGGCGGGAAGATTCAAATTTGAACGAAGAATTTAATGGATGCTCACTTTCAGGGTCTGTGCTGACGTAAATTTAGTCAAGGAAATACAGTGGCTTCGTCTTTAGATGACATTTTAAGTGACACTTTGGGTTTAAGAAAGTGGGCCAAACTACTTTTCCCCCGGGCCAGTGTAATTCTTTGTCACAGTGTAGTGTAAGACTGACGGAATCCGTTATGGCTAGGCCCAAACAATCTTGCCAAACCCGTCGTGCAGTTTTAAAACCAGCTTTGACACTCAACCTAAAATAAAGAGGTATATGAGGCTTTTTTTCTAGAGTGATCGAAAAGTAAGATTATAAAGTTTACTCAGTAGTCATAGACCTTTATCATGCTGCCCACATTTCAGTCATGTTCCCAGTTCCCAATAACAGTACTGAATAACAATGCTCTTTTGTGCAAAAAGGAACCAGACTATTTTTCCTTCCAGCCTCGCTTTGGTTACGTTGATTTGAATAGGAACAAAAATCAAGAATACCCCAACATGATAATGGTCTATTGAAAGTGACTACTACAGCAACATAAGCAAAATTGTGCATATAACACAGTTTTCACGAAGGCATACAACAACGAGACGTCAATATGGCAGTAAAAAATACGGGGAAAATCAATTAACCTGTATTATACGTCACGTGATGTCTACTCCAAGCACAAAATGTTATTATGATGAAAACATTCAGTTGACAGACCAATCTGCCATTGTAATCGGGGTCAAAATATGTCACTGCACCCCACTTGTACTTTGGTGGTATTGAAATGAATTCAAGTGAACTGAGAATTTGAACAGATTCGAGGTGTTTTCCTTTCCATGTTATCTTATGCATAAAACTCGTGTTCTTTGCGACACAGAATGAGACAATGACATGGCTATATATTCCCACATTGAAAACTTGCCTGGGTTAATTTTACCGAAACAAAGATGAAAACTGCAACTACAAAATTGGGTTGTTCCTTACCCAATTGTTCGGGTTAGAATTTCTGTTACTACCAAAACGCGTGCATGGTCAGACTAAATTTAACTTTGTCTGTATGACAACAAGTTTTGGTGAATTTAACAGAAATTCTAACCCAAACAATTGGATAAAGAACAACCCAATTTTAGATGCGTGTAGTTGCAGTTTTCACCCCTGCTTTGGTACAATTAACCCAGGCAATTTTTCAGTGCGCTTCATATTCCATGTATATGAGGCATATAGTTTACCTATATTCCCTGCGCGGTGTGCGTCTGCATGCGGCCTTGAAAAGACATACACGGCTGTGTTTCCGTGACATTTTTCATAACCACAATATATTCCATAACATAAATTATGCAAGTTGCAAACATTCCAGCAGAGTGTGGCAACACAAAGATGTTTTCCTTCTGTTATTAAAAAAAAACATAGTGATATCCATCCCCGTGGATGCAATGCAAATATGAAATTGATAGATTGTTTTACATTTTTTTTTTTTTTTTTTTTTACATATGAGGTAAGGTGGCATAGTTGTTAAATATAGCGCGACGGCGATGCACAGCTGTTGCGTCTGGCTGCATGAAAAGCAAGGGCAAATCATGCATATTATATTAAATAATGATATTTCCAATGACATTATCATAGTGACATTTGAAAATTCCATTTCTGGTAATGCTTTTTTATGTGATTATTATAATGTGGACATTTAATTTTCATGCTTACTTTCTCATGCAAGTTGCGCATGGATCTTGAAAATGTTATGGTTTTCTATGGCAGTATATCAATAGACAACTTTGTGTACAATAATGTGACCAAAATGTATCTAAAGATTACACTACATGGTCTTAATGATATAATTTATTCATTCTTGTAGGTTTTGTAAATAATATAAGTAATGTGGTTACAAAGGAAGACATCACAAACAGAATTGATCAAACACAAAACAAATTAACTGTGAAACAATTTTGTTATCAATAACTAGCTATGAACAATGCTTTATTAATCATTAATAAAAACCCAATGAATTTAAATTTAAATCTCAAAGACATGTGGATGGCTTATTAACTTTTACAAATCTCCTTTCAGCAAAACGACAGCAATTCACACAGGGCTATAGGGATGTGTGTGAATTGTTTTCGTTTTGCTGAAAGAACACACACCTCTTTGTGATCCGTGGACAGAACGAACGGTGGTTGTGTTTAAAATTCCGTAACTTGAAAAGTACATGAGTGATTGGAATGATTCTTGTACTAAAAGAAAGCTTATTAATTGTATTTTATATCCTAGATTATGAAAGTGCTACATGCAGAACTTTATTTGGAAAATGGTCCTGCCATTTCGGTTTCCTTTTTTTTTACTCACCCTGCAGTGCCATAGGCCTACCGTTACACAAAACTATAGTCTAAAAATACAGGCTGTAAAAGATTGGTGATGGAGGATGTTAATTATGAAATGTTAATATAAGCTAGTATGCTGCTTCCCTGGGCTAATTCGTTTCCGTTTATTTGCTGGTAGTTAAAGACTAGGCCATGTTTGTTCGGATGATGGTAGTTTTGTTAATAACTGAAGACCGTGGACGGCGCCTATAGACCATTATCATGTTGCGGCCATCTTGTTTTTTTCCCCCATTCAATTCAAAGTAACCAAAGCGAGGCTGGAAGGAAATACAGTCTGGTTCCTTATTGTATAAAAATACATTATCATTCAATACTGTATGGGAACATGACTTAAATGGTGGCAGGTCTATTATGATGTGCCAATTCAAACCACCATATAGGTGAGGATGCCTGGCGATTTTTCACCGGACTTTTTTTCAAGTGCTTGCTTAGTTGGGTTAAGTTTATTTTTGATGCCAAAGGAAACGAAATACAAAAATGTTTATTCTTCGAACAAAATAACTATGCGAGGATAGTATACCTGCACTATTAAAGTGTGAGCCCAGGACATGTATTCATGCGAAAAGCAGTCGACCTCATAGGGTGAGAGGGTATCATAGGGACATCACAAAAAAATGCATTGCTGCCGGGTCTAGGGCGTGGCCTAAGCTCCGAAATGACGTAATAAAGCACCGTCATTACCGAAAATCCCTCTTTTGACAATATCTCAAAAACTATACATGGTAATAGCACAAATGTGGTCTCTACACCTATTTTTTTATGGTCAATCTTTACGTTGAACACCATTGTAGGGTCTGACGATGTGCTTTTAGAAAATACTACCGCGAATAGGTGAGGGCGGATTACGTCATCCGATGGAAACATCTATTTATTTGCACACCAGTTTTCATCGGTTGCTATGTGTTACCATTCAGCACACCATACTTAAGAACCATTGGGCTTCAAGACATTAGGTCTGATGGGAGCTATAGTTAAGCCAATGCAAAAAAATCCCGGATCATCCGCGCCCACCCATATACCAATCTGAGCACACTAACAATTCTATCACGGAGGCCCCCTTCAATGACGAAAGCATTGTGTTAGCTATTGTTCAGACAATCCATCACGGGGTAGTTGCTTTGTACAATAGCGTGCACCATTGAAGGGGGCCTTACTGTACACTGATCACGTGCCCTGCAGATTGTCTACAAATTATGAAACGGGCATATTTTTGCCATTAATAATTTGATCTATGAGTCGACACAAAACTGCTCGTGCCCCGAATAAAAAAAAAACAAGTGTGAGTGCACAATAAGCTCTGGCCGTCTTGCAAGAAAGCATTGCATGAAATGATTGTGCATACAAGCTCGGGTCGCCGTCCCACGCGAATATCGCGCTAGTCTGTCCCGAAAAATTGACCAACCTAATAACTCCCCTAAGTTTCCCATAAAATGTAGCGTGCTATATCACACGCTATATACCACATGACTGCACATATTGTGCCTCCATTTACTAAATGTTCATAAACAACTTTACGAATCGCTAGAAACAATTTTTGGTTTTTTTAATTTAGTTTGTTTGCTTTTTAAAATTAGCATTTGGTACTTATATTTTATGGGAAACTTAGGGACTACTTTTTTATCAATTTCCCAGGGACAGACCTATGCAAAATGGACGCGCATGCATGCGCATCGATCAAAACAAAGCCGGTCTTCCGAAAACTTTCGGCAAGAGTGCATCTATATGACGACGGCATGGCATTTGGTCAACTTTTGGTCCAATGTTTTTGGTCAATTTTTGGGGACAGACAGACCGACCGACCGACCACCAAGTGACAAGTAGAAGCTCCTGCCAGAGAATAAAAACTATTTTTAAAAAATCATATGGACCTTACGCGTTGCAGTCATTTAGAGTGCATCTTTTGTTATTTTAAAGGGAAGATACAACATTTGCAAACATCACAAAACGAAATGATTAATTATCACAAAATACCATACTGGATTGTTAGGGAATGACAGTCTACAGCATCCTGTAATATCATGGCTCCTGGTGTGCTGACATTTTCAAGAAAAATGGTATTTTTCCAACGCTGGTCGGCCGACCAGCGTTGGAGAAAAAAAACTGCTCCTACTTTTTCATAATTAGTTATTCCGCGTTTTCTTTGCAATTGATTACACACCTGTGAACGGGTACCAGCCAGCTAGACTGGTTCCCTGACCTTACAATTCCCCAATGCATGTAAACTGCTCTGTTTCTTCTTATATGGAGTCAGGGAACCAGACTACAGGAAAATGATTGTTTTTCTTGGTTTTTATAGCATTTTCGAACCCAAAACCTCAAAAAAATCAGTGTAACTATATTTGCTATATATTTGCAACCCCCCAATTCCATCCATTTCTGAAAATTACAGCAAAAGCAAATGATGTATATTCCCTTTAAAGGACATCATTTGTTGTTTTAATTCAATAACAATGAAGGCACGAAAGGTTCACTCATGCATTTCCCAACAAAACAAAGGCATTGAGGGTCAATGGACCGATCCAGTAAGCACCGCCCCATGGTGTTCTGACCAATCACAGCCGTGATTTATGTCCGACGTGCGTGCACTAAAGTCCGACAT